GGTCAGTTACTTGACTCGTAAACAAATTGATATGATACCATTTAAATTGACTTCAACCACATCCACTTGACTCTAAATAAATTGACATCTCCATCCCTATCCACACATATTTGAATCTTCCAATAAGGTTCCACGAAACCTCAAGGAAAAACTTAGTTGCTCAATTTACCACTTTGGTTCATCATCATATGACACATTACCAATCAATCCATTTTGTTTTGTTTTGTTTCGGTCACCCTTTTCTAAGTAATTTGTGATCCAGAAATAAACCAGTTATTCATCATCTTAGTCAGAACATTATTTGAACTCTATAAAATAAAAGTACATGAATTTTTTAAAGTTAAGTAAAAAAATTTCTAACAAAATATTTTATAAATCATAGGATTCCGAAAACTATACATTCAAAATCTCACCTTTTAAAAAAAAAAATATCAAATCTCACCTATTTATTTTACACACAAAATTTAATTTACAGGAAAAGGAAAAATATTATTTTTGGCAAAATAAAGAGAAACTTTGTGGAAAAAATTGAAAAATATTAAATTATTGTTTTTTTTTTTTTTTTGGGTTCGAACTCTTCAACTCCCTCAACACAAGTAGCTAAAAGGAACAATCTAGAAGAAGAACGATAGTATCCATCTCTTTATATTCCTTCCTTCATTGTGGTAAAAGGAGACAACTTTGGCCTCTACTTCATTCTCCTTGTTTGAAATTCATCATCTTCTTCGATTCTAAGCAGTTTCAAGGAAACCCAAATCGAGATGGCTAAGGAACTTGCTGATAAGGCTAAAGAGGCTTTCGTAGACGACGACTTCGATGTTGCTGTTGACTTGTACTCCAAAGCCATTGACTTGGATCCTAATTGCGCTGAGTTCTTCGCTGATCGTGCTCAGGCCTATATCAAACTCGAAAGCTTCACTGGTAACTTCTTACTTCTATTATATTCGTCTTTTTTTACTGTCGTGGACGCCTTTTGGGGTTCTGGGTTTTTATGTGTTCGGTTTCCTATTCCATTATAGCTGAAAGTTGTTGACTTTGCTGGATTATGTGAATTTAGGGTTTAGTTTTGTGTCCTGTCGCTTGGTAGTGTTACAATTCTTCTCAAAGTTAAGAGCTTTCGTATCAGTTTAGTGCAAATATGTGTCTCTTTTGCTGTTTGTGGAGGAACAATGTATGAGAATTGCTTTCATGAGAAACGAAATTGAGTTTATTGTTATCAGAAGTGAGTGCCCTTTACAAGTTATGCATCTAAAATTATTGATGGAGTTGGTTTTGACTGTGCTAGTCTTTTGATCCGTTGATTATGAATATGGAGAATTTGGTATTACAGAGAGTTAACAGTAGTGAAAGTTTCAATCTTTTCTTGAGTGATTAGTCTTTACTTCCACTATTTCTTGCCCATTGTTACTTGTGTTGACGTAGTTTTATCGAACTTTACTGGTTGGATTAGATTTGGGTCTGATTTGTTTCTCAATGAGCAGAGGCCGTGGCAGATGCGAACAAAGCAGTTGAGTTGGATCCTTCATTGACCAAAGCTTACCTAAGAAAAGGGTACGGTATTACTATTTCCTGTTAATCCTGTATATAAGTATTAGTAAGAGTTAAATTTATCTGATACCTTAATCCTTAGTTTGTTTTGTTACCAGTTTATATGGTCTACAGTTGTGGTATATTTCTGTCAAACTATTACTTCCAGTCTTCCAGAGTTCATATTTTGGTTTTTGTATTTGTAGAACTGCCTGTATGAAGCTTGAGGAGTATCGGACTGCTAAAACAGCTCTTGAAAAAGGTGCTTCTTTGGCACCGAGTGAATCCAAATTTAAGAAGTTGATAGATGAATGCGATTTTCAAATCACAGGTATATTATTCTTAATGTTTTGTTCTTGTTTTCTGGTTGATTATGTTTACATGCCTAGAGTGATTGTATTGTTTGCAAATGGTACAAAATATTTTGTTATTCACTTAAGGTTTCGATTTATGGAACTTGTTAATATCTTTTTCAGAAGAAGAGAAAGATTTGGTTCAACCGGTGCCTTCGACTTTGCCTTCAAGTTCGACAGCACCACCAGTATCTGAACTTGATCTTACCCCTGCACCTGCAGCACCAGCTAAAGCCAAGTACAGGTAGTTTTATTGCAGAAAACAATGCTAGATTCAAAATTTCCATGTTTTAAAGAATCATCAAATATCTCATATTCTTGAGTGTTCAACAGACACGAGTTCTACCAAAAGCCAGAAGAAGTTGTGGTAACTGTTTTTGCAAAAGGAATACCCAAACAGAATGTTAACATCGACTTTGGTGAACAAATTGTGAGTATACGGCTCTTAAGAACCCAACTCAATGATGCTTCTGTGTGATTGTGTGTTGATACTTTGGTATTTTTTTGTGATTTGCAGCTGAGTGTTGTGATTGATGTTCCTGGAGAGGAGGCGTATTATCTCCAGCCGAGATTGTTTGGAAAGGTAATTTATTTGTTGAATGAATTAATGTTGGTGTTCCTTTCAGCACTCTGAGCTGAACACATTATATAATGTTTTGTTTATGGTGTATGTTCAGATAATACCAGACAAGTGCAAATATGAAGTATTGTCAACAAAAATTGAGATCCGTCTTGCAAAAGCCGATATAATCACATGGGCCTCCCTCGAACACGGCAAAGGGCCAGCGGTTTTGCCAAAGCCTAATATCTCATCAGGTTTTCTACCTTTTCTGTCTTTAGTTTCATCGGATGAGCTTAACAACAGTCTCTTGTCATGTAAATCTTATGTTGTATGTATGATGATGCAGAGGTTTCGCAGAGGCCAGCTTATCCATCTTCTAAGAAAGTTAAGGACTGGGACAAGCTGGAAGCTGAAGTGAAGAAACAGGTCTGTCTCTAATCATAAGCCTAGTCCGAACATTTTACCAAATGGTTTGTTTGTTCGTTTCTTTTTGTTTAATATTGCGATTGATCTGCAGGAAAAGGATGAGAAGCTGGAAGGAGACGCAGCTTTGAACAAATTCTTCCGTGAGATATACCAAAATGCGGATGAGGATACGAGGCGAGCAATGAGCAAATCATTTGTGAGTATCTATCTATATTCTCTTTGGTCTTTCTTTTTTTCATGGAGACTAAAAGAGTTTTGTCCTTTTGATCGACTCATTTACGGTTTTCGGGTTTTGAACAATGAACAGGTGGAATCGAATGGGACAGTGCTGTCAACAAACTGGCAAGAGGTTGGGACTAAGAAAATCGAGAGCACTCCTCCGGATGGCATGGAGCTCAAGAAATGGGAGATCTGATCTCTGATATGATATGATCCTTGCTTTTGTTGCATTTGTGGGTTTTGCCTAAATCTAGACAAGTCTTAAAACCTGGTCCCTTTCTTCCTGTAATGAGGGTCCTAAGGTTTTTTCCTTTTTTGCTAAATATGGCTTTCTACTTATGCTATGTTGTTGCTAAATATGGCTTTCTTAGAAACTAAGTCTGCAAAACCAAAGAGATAGACATTGAAGAATTAGTTCTAAATTGTCACTTTAGATTCGTTCTAAACTTTCTAGTATGGAGAAACGTGAACTTTTATTTAAGTGTTATATTTGAAAAGAAAAGAAAAGAACCACGTTAATTTGTATAAAAAAACACTCCCAAATCTCACAACTTTATGTGTTCATATTATGTTTATTCAATAAAAAAAAGGCGCATAACCAAATTCAACTTTCTTTTCCTATAAAATTGTGAGTTGTTATATAAATCTATCAAAAAAAAGGCTGCCTATGATCATATATGACACCTGTTTTCACACATCACAAATAAAATCTACAAGTTTTCTCAACAGCCAAAAAACCCTAAAAGCCTCTCTTCGACAATGGTGAATACTTGTAGAATCAGCTTCATCAGCATCATGATCCTCTTGCTCTTTATCAACCAGTCTGCTATTTCTTCTTCTGCACGCATCCGTCATTTAGAAGGTCGAGATCATCTTGCTCACCACCGGACACTTGATGAGGTTGAGAAAGCTGATAAGGAACATCTCACTTTCGTGTTTAGAACGAAAGAGACTGACACCAATCTCGCTGACAATGTTTCTCTCCCAATTCCCCAATTTCCTCGATATACATATTGTAGGTGGCCTATTACAGACACTGACACTATAAGGCTTTGAGTTTGTTGCATTAGGGTTCATTATTACCTCGATTGATACTCCATGAATTATGTAAACCCTATTTTTTTTTAAGACTTTGTCTCATGACTTTGTAAACTCTACTTCTATTTAATATATCTTTGCCAGAATAATATACAAAATAATCCTTTTTTTTTATGATGACATTAATTCTTACCCTCGACGTTGTAACTCTTCTTCAATTTCATCATATTTTGTTATGTTGTATATATAGTTTATCAATCTTTCTCGATAAACGTTCTGATTCTTTATAAAAATAAATTTGGATACCTTTTTTTTTATTATTAATAAACGTGCGCAGGGCATGAGATTAAGACTAATAGCATGATCCGTAATTTGCGTTCCTAATTAACAAGGTTTATCATCTGGTAGATCTAACTGATCAGTATATAATTTAATCTATATGCTTGAGATTGAACGTGAACATTATTGTAGTATCTTTAACAATATCTATAAAATACCACTATTACAAAATACCATGATAATAAATACTCCATATATTGTTCTTTTATAAACGTAAAATTCGGGACTAAAAATCTCAAGCTATTCCCTAATTAAGATCTAATTAACCGGATATTTTTATCATTCAAACAAACATTAAAATAGATGGGATAAATAAAATCCTTAATTATACCATATATGATGAATATTTTTTTTTTAATATAAATTGACGTGGAATATTTTTTTTGATTATGCAGGTGATATGTTCAATAATCCAATCAGGGACGTAATATTTTTTTCCTAAGCTAAATAGGTGAAAAAATCTACCAAAAAATAGGAAAATTATTTTTAAGCCGCCTTTGATCATCTATATATATGAACAACCCACACGTGTTTTCACAAATAAAATCTAAAGTTTCTCAACAAGCTAAAAAAAAACCCTAAAAGTCTTGCAGCTTTCTCTCTTCGACAATGGTGAATACTTCTAGGATCAGCTTCATCATCATCATGATCATCTTGCTCTTCATCAATCAGTCTGCTCTTTCTTCTTCTGCACGCATCCGTCATCTAGAAGGTCGAGATCATCTTGCTCACCACCGGACACTTAGTGAGAAGGAGAAAGCTGATAAGGAACGTCTCAGTTTCATATTTAGAACGGTCGAGGCTGAAGCCAATTTGGATGAAGATGTTTCTCTCCGGCTTCCCCATTTTGCTCGATATAATAGCTATCCTAATTCCTATTACACTCACTACTGATCAATCTACTAGGGTTTTGAATTTGTTGCATTAAGGTTCATTAATTACTGCGATTGATACTCAATGAATCATGTAAACCCTATTTCATTTTTTTAGATTTTGGATCATGACTTTGTAAACTCTTCCTCAATTTAATGGATATATTGTTAGAAAAGCGTCACCACTAATTTTCGTGAATCTTTTGGATTGCTGCTGTGTATATAATCAATTTATGTAGTATATCGAATGAAACAGATTAATAGATTATAGATGCCATTTATGAAAAGTATGAATCATTGAACACCAATTGGTAAAAAGAGTAATTTGTAAATAAATAACAAAAAATATATATTAAAAAAACAAGACTAATTTGTTGTGTTTTGTATATATAGTTTATCCATCTTTATCGATAAGCGTTCTGGTTCTTTATATAAAAATTTTGGGTACCTTTTTTTTAATAAACGTGCGCAGGGCGTGAGATTAAGATAATTGCATGATCCGTAATTTGCGTTCTTAATTTTTAAGGTTTATCATTTGCACCTTTTTTTTAATGTTAATTAGGTATATAAATATTAATAATTTATATCGTTTCTTTAATAATATTTATAAAATACCATTATTACAAATAACATTTTTAAAAAATATTCCATATATTGTTCTTTTATAACGGAACTAAATGTCATGTTAATCCCTAAGATCTAATCGGATATTTTTTGGAATAGTCGAAAGAAATAAAATCCTTAATTAGACCTTTATGAGGAATATTCAACCACAACCACCATAAATTTTGGTTTTAAAGTTCTATGTTATATTTTTAAGTTCGGCGTAGTAACTAGGCCTGGGCGTTCGGATATTCGGGTCGGGTTCGGGTCGGGTTTTTCGGGTTCGGGTTTTTCGGGTTTAGAAAACTAAGATCCGTTCGGGTATTTTAAAACTTCGGGTTCGGGTCGGGTTCGGATTGGGTATTTCGGGTTCGGATTCGGGTATACCCGAAGTATCCAAATATTAGAAATTTTGTATCCGATTCTATGCAAAGTATTGAAAAATACTCAAAAAATCTATAAAACCCAAGTATTTTAACCCGAATCTAACCCAAAGTAGCTAAAACACCCGAAAATATCTTAACATCCGAATAATTTAGGCACTTAGGTTATTAAAAGTATAAATATTACTAATATATTATAACTATGTACTTATATTTTGGGTATGTTCGGGTACTTGTTCGGGTTCGAGTTCGGGTCGGGTTCGGGTTCGGGTTTTCGGGTTGTGAAGTTTAGAACCCGTTCGGGTATTTTAAAACTTCGGGTTCGGGTTCGGGTCGGATTTTTTGGGTCGGGTTCGGTTCGGCCCAGGCCTAGTAGTAACTAGTAAATTTTTTTAGGGAAAATCAACTTGTATAATTGAAGATCCAAATATGAAAAAGGCTCTGATCCAATTCCATCCGTCAAAAATCTTATAATAAATGAACCATCTTACGTTGACAAACGTATCTTCTGTGATCACCTTGATAAGAGCAAACCCACGTTCTAACATGTAGGGGGACCTCGAGATACATTATTATTTCCTTTCTTTTCTTATTTCGATACTAAATATAATACTTACCACGTTAAACATCAAATCAATAAAAAAAAGTAGAAACTTTTACTATATAATCTCACTAGTAGCAATGAGAGTAGTCACCCAAAAACAATCATCTATCTAGAGAAATAAAAGAAGTTAATTAGTTCCGACGCTAGACGTAAGAAATATGGGTAGCCACGGATGCGTTGATTGGCAGTTCAGTGGCAGTGATGCAGCCGAAAAGGCCGCCGCGGCATCCCTAGGCACTTACTCTTCTGAAATCTTCGGTCTGTGTGACCCTCAAGGAAAGCCTATTTTGCCCCCACTAAGCGAGGAGGCAGAGACCAGCCACACTGCCGAAAAGGCGGTTGTTAAAGCTGTCCTTTGCGGTACCGGAAACGCCTACGCTCCTAGTATTGGCCTCCCGGTTGCCAAACGGTAATATATATATACACACATAAATAAAGTTCAATATTGCAAACTGCTCAATTTTGGTATACGATTAATTTTTCTCTATGATAGTAGAAACGATAATCGTGATTTTGCATTACGACTGTCGCTTAGAGCTATATTTTGATACTGAGTTTTTTCTGTTCATCAATTTTCCAATATTTGTTTTTCACTCTTTGTTTTTTTTCTAATTATCTTAGATTGGTTCAGGTTAGTTTAATTATCCATATTTTGCATCTTAACTCTATGCTTATATATTTATCAGTGCTGTGGCGGAATATTTAAACCGAGATCTTGATAATAAGCTGACGGGAGATGATGTTTATATGACTGTTGGATGCAAACAAGCGATCGAGCTCGCGGTCAAAATCCTGGCTAAACCGAAAGCCAATATCTTGCTTCCGAGGCCTGGCTTCCCATGGGACATGGTCCACTCTATCTACAAAAACCTTGAGGTCCGAAGGTATGAATTTATCCCCGAAAGAGACTTTGAGATCGATTTCGATAGCGTCAAAAAGATGGCTGACGAGAACACATGTGCGATATTTATAATCAACCCTCACAATCCCAATGGGAACTACTACACTGAGGCTCATCTTAAGCAGGTATTAACGTAATTTTACCCTTGGAAAAGTTTCCACGTACGTGATTGGCTAGATGATCTAAGCAAGAAATCTTCTTCATTAGTTTGTGTTTATTACGTTTACATTACATGGTTTTTTCTTCAAATTATAGGACTACAACGTTTACTTAATGTTAGAAAAATATATATCTTTCATTTACAACGTAACCAGCAAAGTAATACATATTTATGTCTCGTTTACAAATTTGCAATATATTAGATGATGATTTTAATTTTTAATTTTTTTTTTTAACTTTTTGCAATCTAAAAGATAATATTTTAGCAATCAAGGTGCTAATCTTTACTTGTGAAATGAATCCCAGCTCGCTACATTGGCTCGGGAACTCGGGATAATGGTGGTTTCGGATGAAGTATATAGATGGACCGTGTTCGGGAGTAATCCATTTGTTCCAATGGGGAAATTCTCCTCGATAGTACCCGTGATTACACTCGGGTCCATCTCAAAAGGATGGATTGTCCCAGGATGGCGAACGGGCTGGCTCGCACTACACGATCTAAATGGTGTCTTTAGATCCACCAAGGTCCGGAACACTTTTTTAAGCATACAATATCAATTTATGTGATATACATTGTTTTCCTGTAAAAGAGTTTCATTTCAGTTTACGTTTTTGACCTTATCTTGTTTTATATGGACAGGTCTTAAAAGCTGCTAGAGAATATCTGGAGATTACTTCTAAGCCACCAACTGTTATCCAGGTTTGGATCATTATTTGGTTTACTAAATCTCTAGACTTATTATAAAATCGGTATTCCATTTATTGTCAATTGTTATAGTTTATGGCCAATTCAGTGTCATAATATTGTGATGTAGGCGGCTATTCCCACCATCTTGGAGAAGACTCCTCAAGAGTTCTTCGATAAGAGGCAGAGTTTTCTGAAAGATAAAGTGGAAATTGGATATTCTAAGCTCAAGCACATACCAACCCTCACCTGCTACATGAAACCTGAAGCATGCACCTTCTTATGGGTATTCTATTCTATAATTATTACATTTATAGTCTACTATTATTTGTTTTCATTGTATTAGTTTGAAACAAACTTCTCATATGGATAATCCGCATACCGCAGACCAAGCTGGACCCATTGCATTTTGTAGACATTGAAGACGATCATGATTTCTGCAGGAAGCTTGCTAAGGAAGAAAACCTCGTTGTTTTACCAGGTAATAGTCAAGTCTTTTAGCTATGATCACTTTTTATTAGCCCTCTCTAGAATTTTCAGAAGATGGAGATTCAAGTTTTGAGGAAAAGTATATACAATTGTTTTTCTTTAACACTTGTAAAATAAAGAAATATGTAGACTAAGACATGTAGTCTAGTGGTTCATACTAGTTTTCGTCATTGAATTACAACACAATTTAAACCGGACTGAATGCATGTTATTGACAAAAAAAATGTATTGTGTGTTGGATTGGTTAGGGATTGCATTTGGTCAGAAGAATTGGTTGAGGCATTCTATCGACATGGAGACTCCAATATTGGAGGATGCATTTGAAAGATTGAAGAGCTTCTGTGAACGCCATTCCGTTATAGTTGAAGCTTCACTCAAAGATGTCAATGGCGTCAACTAAAGGGTCGATATGGATCTTTGCCGCCTAAGTCTTCTACTGTTCTACATATGCTATAATAATAAATGGGTGTTTTATTGATTTGAGATCAATCATGAACACTTTCGTATCTGTAACAAATAAAATTGGTGTACTTATGACCATGTCGTCGTAATGTTTAGTTTGCAATTTCGATGTATTTCTACTTTCCGAAACATAAGATTAATAATTTATTTTCATTAGATATAGATTGGTGTGCAAATACCATGAGAGTACATCTATATATTTGTTTAAAAGAACATCTATATGATCTATTTAATTAGCCTTTCAAAATATATTTGGTCATGTCTTATGGCTCAAAAGCATGTTGAATCAGATTCGTACTGAATAGCATATTGATCTGATCGTTTTCACAATAATAAATTTTAGTATTAAGTCACATTAAAAATTATATCTAATTATTTACTTGTTTTTTAATTAAATATAAATTTATGCATGACACGGATAACCTAGTAAAGATAATAACAACGAGTAACTCATGAAATCATAGGTTACAATATATAAATTGGGCAACAACAATAGACATAACAGAAACATGGGTGGTTTTCCTCCTCTGGTCGGTCGAAGACGACAAAAAAACAAAATTTTAATACGTAAGAATCTTTGCTTCTCTTGATGCTGATGACTACTCGACAGAATTATTTTGTTTACTTTGTATGTATAATAAAGGAGATTGTGACTCTACAAGCGAGGGTTAATAGACCATGCATTCGTATCAATCATACAGTTTACTTTAAGTACAAAATTAAGATGACACCAAGGACTCGTGATACATTATTTTCGTTTGTCTTCTATGTTTGAGTTAATATCGTACGTGAAATACCAAATATTTAAAACAATGTGGAAATCATTGGCAAAAAAGAGAAAAGTGGTTGGAATTTTCACTATATATATTAACTCGTAGCAATGAGAGTTAGTCATCCAAAAACAAAATCTAAATAGAGAGAAAGAACTAAGAAATGGCAACCCTTAAGTGCATTGACTGGCAGTTCAGCGGAAGCGAGGCGGCCAAAGAAGCTGCCGGGGCCAGCTTAGGCACCTATACCTCTGCACTCTATGCTATGTGCGATCCTAATGGCAAACCCATTTTGCCCCCACGAAATGAGATCCTGGAGACCAGCAATACAGCCGAAAAAGCAGTTGTTAAAGCCGTTCTTTATGGCTCGGGAAACGCCTATGCTCCTAGCGTTGGCCTCGCGGCCGCAAAGCGGTAATATATGTAGATACATAAAAAAATTATCGATAATTTTCTGACAAAAAATATTACCAAAAGCTCCATAATGGTAAAAATTCATTTTATCAATAATGATTTTGTGTTGAAAGTGTTAAGTAGAGCCAATTTATTTGGGTCAAGTCTGACTGGATTTAAGAAACTTTTGAATTTGGACTGGTCATTTTGTCTGTTCATAAAACCTTTCCCAAATCACTTGTCATTTTTGGTATATATACTCAAATTTAACATTTAGTTTGGGTTAACTCAAATTTAATTTAGCAATCCCAAAATGTTGGAACGGACCAAAATATTATTAGACTAATTCTGATTTAGCCAGATTTAACACTTATATTTTGCATCCTAACTCTATTATTTTTGCATATTTTGTATGACACAATCATTTGTGCTTCCGTATTCTCAGTGCCGTAGCAGAGTATCTAAACCAAGGTCTTCCAAAGAAGCTTACAGCAGATGACGTGTTTATGACTCTTGGATGCAAACAAGCCATTGAGCTCGCGGTAGACATTCTGGCTAAACCGAAAGCCAACGTTTTGCTTCCGAGTCCTGGCTTCCCATGGGACTTAGTCCGCTCCATCTACAGGAACCTTGAGGTCCGCCACTATGATTTCCTTCCCCAAAAGAACTTTGAGATCGACTTTGATAGCGTCCGAGCGCTCGTGGACGAGAACACGTTTGCGATATTTATAATCAACCCCCACAATCCCAATGGGAACACCTACTCTGAGGCTCATCTCAAACAAGTATATACATATTTTATATAGATTCTTTAGTCTTGGCTAGCTACTATTAAAGTATTAACTTGTTAACCTTGTTTCTTTCTTGTATAATTATTGAACCGTAGCTCGCTGAATTGGCTAAGGAACTCAAGATTATGGTGGTTTCTGACGAGGTTTTTAGATGGACACTCTTTGGGAGTAACCCTTTTGTTCCGATGGGAAAATTCTCGTCGATAGTACCAGTGGTTACACTTGGATCCATATCAAAGGGATGGAAAGTCCCAGGATGGCGAACTGGTTGGCTCGCGCTACATGATCTAGATGGTGTCTTCAGAAACACCAAGGTCCGATTATTTTTAAATTTTGGCATCACTTTGTTAGAAATACATTTTCCTATACACTTTTAAAGTATGTTGTGATCTTTACTTTTTTGGCCTATTTTGCTCTGTGTGGACAGGTCTTACAAGCTGCACAAGAATATCTCCAGATAAACAATAATCCTCCGACGGTTATCCAGGTATGGACGGTTCGATTTCGGATAAATTTGGGCTAGTACTCTCTCACCATAATTGTGAACAAAATATTTCATGTAATGTTCATGCATGTAGGCGGCTATTCCTGACATCTTGGAGAAAACTCCTAAAGACTTCTTCAATAAGAGGCAAAGTTTTCTGAGAGACAAAGTAGAATTTGGTTATTCTAAGCTCAAGCACATACCTAGCCTCACTTGCTACATGAAACCTGAAGCCTGCACCTTCTTATGGGTATGTTATTATATAATTATATTAATAGCACACTTTTAATCTTCTTTAATTTTATTTTGAGACAATCTTCTCATAAACATATATTGTTGTCGCAGACCGAGCTTGATTTATCGAGCTTTGTAGACATCGAAGATGATCAAGACTTTTGCAATAAGCTTGCTATAGAAGAAAACCTCGTTGTTTTACCAGGTAAATAATTTACCAATCTATTTTACTTATGATAACGGTTTCTTAGCCCTTTCTACAGTTTCAACACCTACTATATATCAAGTTTTAGGGTTTAGGATTTTTAGACAAAATTAATACAATGATTTATGGACACTACTTAGTTATAAACATAATTAAGAACATGTTGTGTGTTGGATTTGATAGGGATTGCATTTAGTCAGAAGAATTGGTTGAGGCATTCTATCGATATGGAGACTCCAGTATTGGAGGATGCAATGGAAAGATTGAAGAGCTTCTGTGATCGCCATTCCATTAAAAAAGCTCCACTCAAAGACGTCAATGGTGTCAACTAAAGGGTCAATACGGATCTTTGTCTAAGTCTTTTACGTATGCTATAATATTAAATAAACGAGTGTTTATTGCTAGAATCGGATTTGGACCCGTACCAACCGGAATAGACCGTATCGTTGAGATTCTTATTAGTCATCGTTTGTCGTATCTTACAAGCTGCAAATTAAAGAAAACCATAATATTCCCGGATATGAAATTCCGTAGAACATAATGTCCAAAAAGAAAAAAATCAGAGCCAACAAGTTAGAAGCTTCACACACTAAAATCAACTCCTCCTCAATTCTTTTTCGTTTTCCAAGTCAATAGTCAAACACAAACCGGTCTTTTCGTCAATTGTATGATTACGTTGCAGACAAGATTCATAGGTTTAAACTATGACATATTTTAAATCCAAAAGCTGCTTTCCTACTAATATTTTTTGATAAATCCAAAACCTGCTTGTTTAGCTCAACATAGTAAGATTAAAGATGTTAATTTTCTCAAAATAGTAAGATTAGAGATGTTAATTATTTGTCTATGTGTCTCCGACCACCGGGTTGGTTTCCTGACCCCAGGATTTAATACAAATTTGCTTATCCATTCAGCTAAATAAACACCAATCGGACCAATCACATCAAAGATTAGAAGATTCACAACACTAAAATCAACTCATCCCACTTTATATTCCATTGTCTAAGTCAATAGTCAACCGTATTTATTTTCCAAGCAAACGCGTTCTTGAAAATTATATCTCCACTACTACAAATGAAGATCCTAATATATATACATATTTCTCTAACTATATTGTTAATTTTAAACCTCCTAAGTTAAGTTATACACATACAAGAAAATGGAGCTAGCCATGGCTAAGATTAACGAGGATCAAACTAAGCCTTTAGCTCCTCTCACTCCCCGAAGCGACCAACCAGACGAAGATCAGTACCACGGCGACCGAACCAAATACGTCCATTCACAGACCAAACTCATCTTATGTTGTGGTTTCATCGCATCTTTAACTATGCTCATCGCAGTCACCTTCATCGTGCTCTCCCTCACGGTTTTCCATCTTCATAACCCAAATCTCACCATCCATTCCATATCCTTCATCCAACCGTTGGATTTCGTCAACGGTAAAGTCAACACGAACCGAAACGCTACAGTCTCAGTGGAAATCTCCTTGCATAATCCTAATCCGGCGTTGTTTAACGTGAAAAACGTTAATGTTTCGTTTTACCACGGTGAATTGGTGGTAGTTGGGGAAAGTATTAGAAGAAGTGAAACTATTCCGGCTAAACGGACGGTTAAGATGAATCTGGCAGCTGAGATTGATACAACAAAGCTACTAGCATCTTTACCAGGTTTAATGGAGGATATAAACGGAAGAGGAGTGGATTTGAAAAGCAGTGTTGAAGTTAAAGGTAGAGTGAAGCTAATGAAGATTTTCAAGAGATCTGTTCATCTTCAAACGGATTGTTTCATGAAGATGACGACCAACAATTTCTTAACGCCTACATTTCAATGTTTCAAGACACATGAAATGCCTAAAAACAGGGCAAAATCTAAAGGAGATTAAATTTTGTTTCCCTTTCTAAGCTTATTTATAGATGTCTGTAAATAAAGTAGTTCAAATGTAAAAGGAAAAATAAATGCATTGTAGAATCAAAAGATAAAAATATTCCGTCGGAAACTAGAGCTCTCCGGCAACACTAATAATAACACAAAAAGAAACATCCATCCTAAAGGATCTTGAGTTCTAAGAAGATCGATCCATCATTTTTCATCAACGTTTGAGAGAAACAAGTATGAGCAACATTTGGAGATTGCACCGGATAATCGCAGTTAATATGACTCACCGGTGTTATTTCTTTTGCGTGTCAGACACACGTCCTCCGGCGACCTTCACAATGGGTTCGTCTTTGGACTTTATAAGCTTTAACGCCGGATGAACCTTGAGGTCTCCCATAACTAGCTTTTGCCCGATATCTAATTGGCTGAGATCTACTTCTATATATGGTGGGATAATCTCTGCTGGGCATAGGAACTTTACCATTCTTTTTATCGTATTCAGAGATGCTCCTGCAAAAAAGATGGATAAGTGGTGATCAGTATTGAAATCTAACGAGAAACTAGAATATGTGATCAAAATTGGGTAGAGACTAGAGAGCAATGGGGAATAAAACTTAAAGATCCCAAAAAAGGTAGCCAGAGGAAGATACAAGCCACTAAACAAAGCTGGGGTAACTTTATACTAAGATGCACATAGATTTCTTTTCACTGAGTTAAAGTTTTGTAAAACATCAAACTTAATGCACTTCCAAGTGATGATTACTTGTCTGTCATCAACAAAGCATAGCTCAGTCTGATCCAAGAAAGGGTAACTGAAACCCTAGTAGTATCACTTCTCTAAAGATTAGAATCTCAATGAAGTCCACTCACGTCAAGTAATGTGTGGCCTTAACTACTTCAGGAGTCAAGAAACCATTGTATTAATCCTACTTTTAGCATATCTACTCAACCGTACAGGACTAAATAGCTATTCGTTCTCAGCAATCAGAAGTCAAAAACCACATGTTTGATCACTACTTATCTCTCTTCCAACTCTATAACCACATATCTCATCTATTTGTTGATTTCCCTCCAAGTCCTATGATTCGAAAATGGGAAATGCTATCCAGAAACTCCTAGTAAGAACACTGATGCCTATGTAAGCACCTTAACTAACTCATGTGTATACTCCTCTATTTCTCAAATGCTTCCTTTTTTTTTGTTCTGATTCCTCTCGAATAACAATCCGAATTATAAAAAGTGAGCAAAGGGTTTATTACCTTTCTTCAATCCAGGAGAAACATCATCTCCTATGAACACAAGAGGGATATCAACCTTCAATAAAGCACCTGGAGGCGCTCTTATAAATGTCACATTTAGTGGAGCATCGGTTCCAGAGTGCAAATGAATCTGAAACATTACATAGCACAAAGTTTCTGAGAACTCAATACATAAACCAATAAACTAAACACACCATTCTAAAATCAACAAGTGAAGATACCAAACTTTAATCAATTTCAAGAGTGAGAAAAATGGAGACTTTATTTACCGCTCTAGGCAAGGCTCTAACTTTCTCAATAACCTCATCAGAACCAATCTCAGCTCGAACCTCAACATCGAAAAGCCTAGAGAGGAAAAAAGAGTAACCCAAATGATTCACAAGCTTCCTGATCTGATTCGTCTGAACTGAAATAAGCCTCTTGTTTCCTCCGTGTTGTCCATCTTCTTGTTCGAATATGATCGAAGGAACCCGACCCGCTTTACGCTCTTTCGCCGATATGCTCTTGCCGGAGACAGACCTTGGAACGGCTAAGATCGTCTCTGCGTGTTTTGGATCGGGTCGAGGGAATCCAGGGAGGTAAGTTAATTGGGTTTCTTGGGTATGATCGATAGATAGAGCTGCGTTCGCCGCCGGAGAGAATAACCGGAGGTTTTGTAGGGTTTTGGGTAGTGTTGTTGCACGACGGAGCAACATTGTTTACTTTACCAGCGAGAGAGAGACGAAAGTGAGCGAGAGTGGGTTTTAGGAGCTGTGTGTTACAGAAATGGGGTATCTCTAATGAAACGTCGTCGTTTTTAGATCTTTAATGGGCTTAAGTTTCATGGGCTTTTAACCCATTATAACTGAACTTGATGCCTGGGAACGAAGGCAAAAAAAAAAAAAAACTCAAAACGGTATATGATACAATGATTCAACGGATATTCCATCAAATTGTTCTTTAAAGACCAATTTACCTTCAATATGTAGCATGGAATGGTATTACGGTAAGGGTAAATTCGTCTTGATAAAAATTTGGCCTCATTGACTCCATTTTATAAGCTCCTCTCCTGCTCTCTCGACTCAAAAACACAAGAAAAAGAAAAACACATTTCTCAAACGTTGCAGTGCCTGAATTTGTGTATTCAAGGTATTATTTTCGTTATAACCATTTTCATCCTATCATTTGTTTTATTACCACTCAGATTTAGCATTTCTATTGTTATTCGTTAATGAAAGAAAAAACTAAAGAAGAATTCGTTGAGACAGCTCTATCAGACTTCAGAGTTCAGAGTTCAGAGTTCAGACAATGGAGCTTCTACTTTTTCACTTTGTCTTCCATGAGCAAATAAAAAAAAAAGGTAAATCTGTTTGAGCATTTTTGTGTATGCAAATGCAATTATGGACCATACATTACATTACTTATGTTTTACTTTTGTTTCCGAGCATCTTTTTGTAATGGGCCTATGAGAGAACTGATACTGGGCTTCATCAGATTAAGTCCATCATTTTGCTTTATTGGGCTCCACTCTTTCTCGCTCCACATTTTCTACAAGTTTTTCACTTTTTTTGGCAACTGTTTCACTTTTTATATAGTTTTTTTTTACCATTAGCCATTAGGTCATAATACAGTTTATCATCATTTTCACACCTATTATTATCACTTTTTTTTTTCTGCCGACTATCATTTTTTACACCTACATATTATAATTTGTTGCAGGAAAAAAAAAATTATAATTTAAGAAATTTGTTTGATTGTGCCCTTTTTTGACGCAGACAGAAAGAACGTGACGCATGTACGAATGGCTGAATCATTCACCACGTGTCCTGCAATTAAAAAAATGCGATCGTACAGCAATCTTGCTTCAGCCGCGTGACACCTGATCATTACCCAATTACTTAGCTCAAACATCGCCACGTATAACGTCCCTCATGACGGGAACCGTTAACTCTGACGGCGTCACATGTCGACCATTCATTTTGTGAAATGTATTTTGTGTTCCCATCTCTTTCCTTTTGGCTTTTTTCCTTTTTCCCCAAGGTTTGGCTCTAATTAAGTAACGAACCTGTAGGTTCGGAAGTTAGGGTCCGAACCAACCAACGGTTCTGATTAGTTCAATTATTTCAACGGACGAGATTTGAGCTTCGATTTCTTTCTTCTATTTTAGGCTTCGAGATCTTTTCTTCTCAAAAGGTGAAAACTTTGGGAAGCAGCTAAAATACTGTGTTCTTTGTTTCTTCCATCGAAATCGAAAAAAGCAAAGATCTTGCGTTTGAAACTATGGCGGAAGAACATAAGCATGAAGAATCTGTGATCGCTCCTGAGCCAGCTGTTGAGGTTGTGGAGAGGGAATCGTTGATGGACAAGATATCGGAGAAGATCCATCACGGTGGTGATTCTTCTTCGTCATCTTCATCTTCTGATGATGAAGATGAGAAGAAGAAGACGAAGAAGCCCTCTTCTCCTTCGTCTATGAAATCGAAAGTTTACCGCTTGTTCGGACGAGAGCAGCCTGTTCATAAGGTTCTTGGCGGTGGAAAGCGTAAGTTTTTCTCCGATCTGGTTTCATTTTCATTGTTTTTTGTCTATGATATTGTGTGTTGTGGCTTGATCTGTTTTTGTCTATGTGTTGTTTGGTTGATTCATTCACTTTTGATGGATTAGGTTTCTTGAGATGGTGACGATCTGTGGATTGAATCTGCATACTTGTTGATAGCGAGAATCGTATTGGCTTAGGGTTTCTTATTTTACTCGTTGATCTAGATCGACCCATCTTGTCCATTTGGTTTTTGGGGGGGTTTAATTTGAGATTCCATTTCTAAATAAATGATTTTGATCATAAAAATGGGGTTTTGATTGTTAGAAAACTTGACTAATCATCTACTTAGTTGATTGTTTTCGATACTAAGACTTAACCTTGATTTAGAAACCTTGATTTGATAGTGTTGTTTGGTGTGATTTGATTGATTTAGAGGATAGTATATGTAATGTTTGCACAACTTGATGATTCTTCCTATTTGCAGCGGCTGATATATTCATGTGGAAGAATAAGAAGATGTCTGGTGGTGTTCTTGGTGGTGCTACAGCTGCTTGGGTTGTGTTTGAATTGATGGAGTACCATCTTCTCACTCTGCTTTGCCACGTGATGATTGTTGTTCTCGCTGTGCTGTTTTTGTGGTCTAATGCCACCATGTTCATTAACAAGTAAGTTAAAACTAATAATGAATGTGAATTTGTCTGGGATGCTTTGTACGTGTCTCAGCTTAAGATTTATTCACTTGTGCATTGTTGACATTTGGTTCTCTGTCAGGTCCCCACCAAAGATTCCTGAAGTTCATATCCCTGAAGAGCCTATTCTTCATCTTGCGTCTGGGCTCAGAATCGAGATCAACCGTGGATTCTCTTCTCTTCGTGAAATTGCATCTGGAAGGGATCTCAAGAAATTCCTCATTGTAAGTCCAAATGTGCATGTGTTGAGTAGAAATTATTTGGGACTTGGTACTTTCTATGTTTATCCTGATCTTTGACATCAATGTTCCATTGGATTGAATAGGCTATTGCCGGTTTGTGGATTCTATCAATCTTGGGTGGTTGCTTTAACTTCTTGACATTGGCATACATAGGTAAATGTTTAATCTTCCTTACTGTGTAGTGTTTTCCTTCTCCTTTCTCACTGAACCCTGATGACTAAAATCTTTATTTTGCTCCAACAGCTCTTGTGTTGCTCTTCACGGTTCCTCTTGCCTACGACAAGTATGAAGACAAAGTCGATCCTTTAGGTGAGAAAGCAGTGATCGAGCTCAAGAAGCAGTATGCAGTGTTGGATGAGAAGGTTTTGAGCAAGATCCCACTGGGCCCATTGAAGAACAAGAAGAAAGATTAGGTTTACACTGCTGTTGTCGGTGGCTAGCAAGAAGGGTGTTGTGAAATGGTATCGAAGTTATGTGTTTTGGGCGGTTTTTTTAGGTGGCTCTTTCGGTTACGTGAATGAACGTGGAATTTCCCTGACTGGTTTGTTTTGTTGTTTATGTCATTGTTGATCAGTGTCGAGGGATAAAAGTAGTGATATTTCTCTCTATATAACTAAGAATTTCAAGATATTTGAATTTTGCAATCTCGTGTTATTGTTGTTCTTTCTTGTTCTACTCCTCTTTCATTATATCAGTAAATGGAATCAATGTCAAGAATTGATATGTTGTATGAAGCTTGTACGCTTTTATAATCTTACTACTTTTTCATACACACTCGAAAGGAATATAAAACTTGGTCCAAGACTTTGTATGGAAGATTCGATGGGTAACGTATTTATAATGTGGATTGTGGGCTATCCACCGACGAGAACGTTTTGTGGACCTTGTTCCTTTTTTTGTTTTCATCATGTGGACCTTGTTCCTAAAAATTGGTAGTTGTGACTTGTGAGAAAGGAATAATCAGCTTACAATTTGTGATTAGAGCTATACTGAGTAGAGTCTTACTCATAAGTCAGGGTGGCCGAGTGGTCTAAGGCGCCAGACTCAAGTTCTGGTCCTCGTAAGAGGGCGTGGGTTCAAATCCCACTTCTGACAAATTGTTTTATTTTCTTTTTAATTTGGGCTTAAAGAGATATATCACCACTCACAGTAGTACATCCTACATCGTTTTGTTTGTCCTTAAACTGAGTTTCACCAACATTAAAGTTACCAAGAAATAAAGGAAGAATATATGATTTGTAAACAGTAAATATTACAAAAGAAAAGAAAAAAACATCATATCCAAATTTATGAAACTCGAACCACAAAACTCTCACAGAAGGATCAGTAAGAAAAACACTCAGTTACAAGTAATAGTTCATGCCCACTTTGATCAAACAAATGTGAGGAATATTTAACATCACGCCTGGGCTTCTGCAATTCTTCCTCAAGAACGAGTAAGCCACGTTTATCACCAAACGTTTCACAAATACCGAGTTGCGCTTCGCCTTCACGTGACCGTGTCCAACAATGTATGCCACTTCTGCGTCCTTAGCGTTCACCAGATCAAACAGCTCCTCCTTCACCTGTGGTTGCCTGAATTTAGTGTCCATTGGTCTGAACTGAAACATCCTTCTCATGCTCAGTCTCGGAAGCTCTTGCTCATACTCTGCTCTCAGTCTAAGTAGTGCCGGAGATTTGCTGTTTGTTACTGTTGTCTGTGATCTTGAGCTACCTGCAATGTTGGCCTCGGATATAGACCGAGACAGCCTTGTCCCAAACTTGTTTGAGGCTTTCACAACAGCGAGCCGACCGTCAATCGAACGGTCAGTGTTTGAGCCACCGTAGCCTTCGGATTCTAGCTGGATAAACTCGGCAATGCTCATCACCAGCTCGTCTTCAAAGTCGTCTCCGTCTTTGTTCACGTCTTTGTAACCGGCTCGGATAATGCATCGGTACATCCTGTATGTTTTCGGTCCAATCCGGCCGATAAGGTACCGTTCTTTCTGCGGCACATACGGGATAGGGACAGTTTTGCAGCAGACAAAGACGACAACTTGGTAGAACGCCGGTAAGTTTGTTAGAAAGTGAGTAAATGTGGCGGGAACACCGCTGGCGAGCTCGGTGTAGATAAGACCCATCCCAGGGACTTTGATGATCCCAAGGCTCGGGCCAAGGCTTAGGATTGATTTCATAGGGACCTTGTTGTGCTGGTCGCACAGGTATTTCTTTCTGCTGCCGTAATGCCATACATATGTGATGAAGGTGAAGAAGAGGGAAAGGAGGAGAGTGATCCAGCCTCCTTTAGGAATTTTGACTAAGGCTGATGCAACGAAGACAAGTTCTATGGTCCCGAAGAAGAGGATGAAGAGGACGGAGAAGACGATATTACGGTTCCAGACAAAGTTGATAATGAGAGGCATCAACCAAGTTGTCACAAAGGCTAGAGTCATGCAGGCGAGCCCTGGAGAACAAAGGATTAGTTTAATGATAAAGATGGAAATTATGAGTTTGATGGAAGGTTAATAAGCCTTTACCAAAAGCAAAAGCTATGTGTCGAGTGTCTTGGAAACAAATGGTGACAGCGAGGGTGAGGATCATGACAACCCAATTGATCTCAGGGATGTAAATTTGGCCAAGGACCCATCTTGGTTTGTGAACAATCTTCACGCGCGGGAAGCATCCCAATGCATAGCATTGTTTGACAATTGAGAACGTGGCAAATATGACTGCTTGGCTTGCGACCATTGCAGCCAGCATAGCCATCATGAGAACCGGCCAGAAAAATGGGTCTGAAGAACAAGAACAAAACACATGAACATATGACAACTACATGAGCAAAAAGGGATGCATGAATGAATTTTCATATAACTTGCAGAAACGAATAATAAAACCAGAAACTTTAGATCTAGACATGCACCATGGATAAAATTGACCATGACAGGTACATATACTTGGGAAATTGTAGTACTTTTCGGACTTGTTATGGAGTTATCCAAAATTGGAGGGACTCATATAGGTTGTAAGGAGTAGAGGAAAAAGACGTGAAATGGAGATTGACCAAATGATTACCTGGAATGGAAGAATAAAAGCTTGAAGGTAGAGCAGAAAAATTCTTTGATAAAAACGCAGCTTGGCCCATGTATTGAAGCACCAGACACGGGTAAACAACACAACAAAACGCAAACTGCATAGAACCATGAGATGACATAATGTTATTGTCTCTTCATCTTCATTAGCAAACAAAAGAGGCTGTCAAATATTTCTAACAAGAACCAGATTTTAATAGTGTATCATATTTTTTCTTATTCCTTGGGTCAAGAATAAGTCCAAAATATGACCAACTGCTTGTGGATTCTTTAGCAACAAAAAATCCTTTAGTAACTGTATGATGCAAAACTTCTAAGGAACTGTAAAAAGTCTTTCCAGAAGTTTCTGCTGCATAAAGGAACCAAACAAGCTGCTTCACATACCCTTATAGATGTGGCTGTAAATTGGCCAAGTTCAGCAAAGATAGCCTCCGTTCCTGAAGTTAGAAAAGTTGTCGAGATGAGACACAATATAGCATTAAAACTTGCTGAGTCTATTTTCAGAGCATAAATGACCATATTACCTGTGATGCATAAAAGAATGCCTCCAAGGGATAGCCATCCATCTATTCCCGTGTCTCTAAAGAATACATAGATGTAGTAGGGAGATAAGGCTTTGTATACACTGGGGTTCCAAGTCACAATATTGTACACACCAACAGTTGCAATTATCAACAACCACAAAATCATTATAGGTGCAAAGAGAAAGGCAACTTTATTGGTGCCACGGTGCTGCAGAACGAAAAGTCCAACTAGTAAAACGCATGCTATCATGACCACAGTACCTAGGCAAGTAACACATTGGTAAAGAAATATAAATAACAATGACGGAATGTGTAAAGTATATAAACAAGATATGTAAGTATGGAAGATGATAGCAAACATTACTTACTATGCTTCAGACTTGTCTTGGCCACAAGGCCATCAATAGAAGAAGAGACTACAAGAGGATATATGTTAGATGCTAAACCATGGAAAAGAAAAAAAATGGTAACATACTATAAGACCAGACCGAAGCGAAACAAAGGTCTGCCTAATTACCTGAAATTGCTGGTGTAAGGACACCGATGGTTATTACCATGGAAGTTCCTACCAAGACTAAAACAAGCAAAGCAGTTTTTGATCTTTTATTTCGTTCTATAAGGCTTTTGAAAGCAGAACTAGGCAAATTTCTACTTGCATCTCCAGGGCCATAGTATGTGGAGATTTCCTCATCAGCCGCTTGCTGATTTGGAAGCAAAGAAAATCTTGCATGTCTGCAGAGCAAAGCATACAAAGCAAAGATCCCTCCTGCAACAGAAATTCAACATTTACATCCTAATTCATGTCTCAGAAGAAAGAAATGGACTCAATTGGCAACCGATGCACATACCTTCACCATTATCATCTGCACTTAATACAAAAACCATGTACTTGATGAGTGAAAGGAGAGTGATGGTCCAAAATATCAAAGAAAAGGCGCCAAATATGGTATCTTCTGTTTGGTGATGTTTCAATCCTCCGTAGAAAGTACATTTATACACGTAGAGAGGAGAAATACTCAAATCTCCAAACACTAAGCCAAAACTCTGATATGCTAAAAGGAGGATCTGGTTACACCTGTTTCTCCTATCAGCCTGATTCAAGAAAAGACAACAACACCGATGGTCACAACTACACACATATATCCACAGATGTTGGCGAACATTTAACATTAGGAATAGATTATCAATGAATGGCTCATTAGCTATCGCAAGAAGCTTAAACTTTGAGACGAAGCACGAAAACGAATCGCTAACAGTGATTTTACTTTTCAAGAGTGATATTAAGTTGGATTTGAATATCCTGATTGAAAAATTTAGAATCAGAAGCTAAATTCAATGAACATCGAGGACGTATCGGCATCATTCATATTTTCATATTTCTCGCACCATTTTCTATTGACATCATCACAGGAGCAACAATAAGGAAGCTAGGGGTTTAAGATTGCAGATGTATCTGTCGAGAGAAGGGAGCGACATACCATGATTCAAGCCGCCGGCGAGTAAGATGCGGCGTCGCTTGGATCTTCAACGATCAGAGAATACACGCCGGAGACTAGTTTCTCGGAATCGGAATCGGAATCGAATCTAGAGGAAAACTGTCGATGATCATTTGTTGTTGTTTTTATTATCGAGAGGAGAAAAATTTAACTAATTCGATCCAAAGCTCGCGGTCCTTCTTCTTCTTCCAGTTTTTTTTTTTTTTTTAATCTCAGTTGTTTTTATTCGTTCTTTGAAAATATTTTACTCATTTTTTAGTTGTCCGATTTCTCGTGAGAAAATGTCATCAAGATTATTATATGATGTAGATTTCGACATTTTCATATGCATAAAAATCGGATTTGAAACTTCTAATGCCTCGTAGAAACTATTGCAACTTGCTTGTTGTTCAGGATTATATATAATCTCAAAATTTATTATAAGGGTTAAGATTATTATTCTAACTTTCTAAGGAGATTTCAGCTTCAAATCAAGCACTAAACAACGTGTAAATTATTATATCTTGAATCTCTCATAAGTCATAAACCAAACCTGCAAATGGCTTTTTTGATCCCAACGTATATATATGTTGTGTTGATAAAAAGAGATTGCAGGAAACAAAATAATTGATTGTAACAGAAACACAAAGTTGAGGAAAGTGAGAACCAAAAACAAACAAACAGACAACATCAAAAGATCTCTCACATTCTGCGTCGGTTTGGCACCAATTCTGGATTTCCCTTCTTCATCATCGCTACAAATTCTTCGTAGTTGATTTTTCCGTCCTGAAGGGAGTAAGGGAGTGGTTAGAAAACAAATGATATGTATATACCGATATTTATGAATGGACCAACTCAGAGATTTATGTATACATACACGATCGGTGTCTACTTCAGCAATGATCTCTTTGATGGATTTATCATCACCCATGTTGTATTTCTTCATGGCTAGCTCTAGTTCTTCCATTGTTATGTAGCTAAGATCACAAATCAAAGATCAAAGAGTGAGACTTTATAGCTTGCTATTGGTCAAAATAGAGAGCTAAAGAACAATGTTTTACCCGCTGTTGTCATTGTCAAAGAACTGGAAAGCGGTGTACAAGTGATCCTCACGTTCAATTCTGTTCATATGCATTGTGGCTGATATAAACTCCAAGTAATCAATTGATCCATCTCCATCCATATCAGCCTAAAAGAAAGCACATAAGCTTTATCACTTTTGTTTTTTTTGCAAGGGGAAAACACAGATTCGACATTAGCGGGTTGGGATAGACTTACTGCTTCCATTAACTGCCTTATTTCAGCCTCAGAGATCTTCGAACCAAGTCTGGGGAGACCGGTTCTCAATTCCTCCAAGGTGACTATTCCGTTGTTATCAGTGTCTAGAGATTTGAACATCTCTTTAAGACCAATGATTTCTTCTTCAGAAAGGTTCTCAGCAATAACCTGAAAATGCAAAAAGAAAACCAAAGATTGTCTTTAGAACAAGAAGACTACATAAAGTACAATAGTGATGGTAAGACGGTTTCAATCAGTGTTCTTATTACCTTCAGGGCCATTTTTTTTAGTTTGTTCATCGCCCGGAATTGTTTCATCCTGGATAACACCGCATTGTCAAGCGGTTTGTCTGACGCCTCCCCGTCTTCTCTAATCCACGGATGATCTGCGTATGTATTAAAACGTGTTAATATTGGTGTTTTCATCAATTTTATTCATCAAAACATGTTACAAAGGGGTCTTACTTAGCACTTCCGCAGCTGAAAGCCGATCTTTAGGGTCATACTTTAACATTTTCCTCACAAGATCTTTGGCACCATTTGATAGTGCTGGCCATGGATCAGCTGAAAAATCAAGCTGCCCTTGAAGAATGGCATCAAAGATCCCGGTTTCATTTTCTGCAGAATAGAAAAAAAGATGTGACTATACATTCACGGTCTACCATTTAAACAGTGAAATAAATTTCTCTTCTCAAATAAGATCAAGACAATACCTCCCCAGAAAGGCGGGACACCACTGAGAAGGATGTATAGAATCACACCGGCACTCCAGATATCAGCCTCTGGTCCATAGTTCCGTTTTAGAACTTCTGGGGCAACATAGTATGCACTTCCAACAAGATCCTTAAACTTATCTCCTGCATTATTGGATCAACTTCATTAAACTATGGATCCAGAGACTACATCACAGATAAAGTCATAAACTACAGACATCAAATAGGGAAGCCTCGAGGCTGTTCTAACCTGGCTTGAAGAAAACCGAAAGCCCAAAGTCTGTAGCTTTCAATGGGGAGTTCTCATCTTTACTCAGAAAGAGAAAGTTTTCGGGCTTCAAGTCTCGGTGCATTACACCCATAGAATGACAACTATGCACAACCATCACCATCTGCCTGCACAAATCCGCAGCGGCTCTCTCTGAGTAAAGACCTTTAGCTATGATCCTATCGAACAATTCCCCTCCTTCACACAGCTCCATAATGAGATTCACCGAGTGTCTGTCCTCGTAGGCTCCCTTCAAATCCACTATGTTCCTACAACCAACTCACCATTTTGAAAGTCAGGTAAATATGCAAAAACGGAAAACTATGGCACCCAAAAGATCAGAAAAAAGAGTCCTCAAACTACACATAAACAAAAAAAAAAAACGATTAAATTGGAAACCTTTTCGATTGTTTAACATAGGACCACCAAACTTATCATCCACTCATTATATAGTTATCTCATGAATAGACTTGAGCATTGGTTCTAGACTAACATTCACCAATATTCCAACAAAAGGCATTTCAGATTCGATTTCGGAAAATGTCAAAGAAGCATTTTCAAGTGAAATACAAGAAAGATATTTACCGGTGGCCACTGAGATGGTGCATAATCTGGACTTCACGGCGAACATCTTCAATGTCGTCTTTATGAACAAGTCGGCGCGTAGGGATTGACTTGCAAGCGAATAGTTGCTTGGTCTCTTTGTGAGTAACAAGATAGGTAACGCCGAACTGGCCACGACCTAGCTCACGACCAAACTCATAGGTTCCTCGAACGTTCTCCATCGGTCGACCTAAGATCCGACCATTCTGCTGAGTAGATGTGGTTGTTGAACGGGATCCGCCGGTTCCGGCGCCTGACAATCCACGGCGTTCTCCAACAGGTTGGACATGGTGGCCGGAGGAAGACGGTGGCGGATCGGAGGATTTGGAGTGAGAGGAGGAGGACGGTGGCGGATCGGAGGATTTGGACTTGCTGTGTCTGTGGCCCATTGTCAAAGCTTTTCTCTCAGTCAATAAAGTCAATCGAGAGAGAAAGATGATATCTCCGATTCTTATGGCTTTTTAATGTCTGAGTCTCTGAGATCGAACACGGTGACCACGTGGCGTCTTTTTATTGGCGTATAGCTGGAGAAATTTAAACCGCGTATAAACAAAAATATTTGTCCCATTGGAAGATAAATTAGTGAAATGTGGAAATCTTCTGCATAGATGTTTCCCACTTTCCCAATCAATCACAAGGCTAATTCAATGTTAAACTTAAGCAATTTGAGATTATAGAAAAGGAAAATTATTAGCATCCCTTAATTTACAGATAAATTACGTATGTCAAGCCAAAAGTAAAGCCTCTAGTTTGACCAAAAGGTTTTTCTCATTACTTTATCAACACTTTTGAATCCCAAACAACAACAGCTCCTTTTTACCACAACCAGTATCTATCTAATCTAAAAGAGTAAAGTTTCAGCTTCTCTGACAGTGGCTCCTTGAGCTTTTCGATCCTGAAGTAGACACACTTTGTAGCAAGACCATGTCCTCTGTTTCACTTCAAGTGTCTCTATAGTCTACTTCAATTCTTCATATATAGGTTCATCATTCTATAGCTTCATCCTCATTCGTTAACAGAGAGTGTCTTATTGAAAACTTCTTCCAAGTACAACTCCACTGAATATAATCGCACCAAACCACTTGTTTGACACAAATCTGTAGAAACATCAAAACCCATAAAGTATTAGCTTTCCACATTTTGGATTGAGAAAGAGTAAAAAGAATCCATATTTTCATACTTTCTACTGCAGTCAGCACCAGATGATAAGTCAGCTGTCCCTATTTGCCATCCTAGCTGTCCTGATGCGGCGGCCAGTGATGCGTAATATTGCCACCCTTAATCATTAGAGCGAGAAACCAAAAAAAAATCAAAAGACAGTAAATGGAATTAGGAAGCACAAAAGAACCCTTGTAAAGTTTATTGAGTACCGAGATCTGCACTGAGTCCAGAAAGTGCAAGAAAGCCCATGGATGCTGTACCAAATCCAGTTAACCAAAGCTTTGTATTATCACCGAATCTAAGAGCTGTTGACTTAACACCAACTTTTACATCATCTTCTTTGTCCTGGAGACACAATGACCGATTCTTTCACATTAGCCCATGAAAAATAAATGATTACCTCTATAGTATCTCAAAATTACTTGCATAAAAACTGAACTTAAGCTGAGATTTTGGGTTTGTAACTTGTGGCATATACTATATCAAAAGGAGACAGGAATCAACCTATTTCATTTTTCAATGTGCTACAAGGTAACTTTCCTTTCTCATTTCTGTTGCAAACGGGAAGACTTTTGTGGTGCTAACTCTTCACTTATTTATAGATTTCAGATGGAATAGAAGGGAGAGCAGGGTTTTCTTCTTTATAATTGTCATTTGACAAAAATCGAACATCGAAATGGATGCTTTCGCATGAGACATGAAACAAAAGCTGAAAATAAATTTGAAGCGAGAAATAGAGAAAACAAAGGAAGCGATATGCACAAGTTGAGATTAACTACTTAGCTACTGTTCATAACCAATGGAATTTGAAGCTAAGGGAATAAAGTGAATATACCTGATGTGCATAAATAGTATCATAAACAAGGGTCCAGCAAACTCCAGAGAGATAGAGAGGGAGTACAACAGATGGCTCTATGCTTCCTTTAACTGCGGTCCATCCTAACAATGCTCCCCAGTTTATGGTCAAACCTAAAAAGGCTTGAGGCTGCAATTACAAAATAGAATCGATCAAAAGAGACCGAGAAAAAATATATTGTCTAACTTTGAGAAGCCAAAATGGATTTAAATTACCCAAAATGTAAACCTCTTCATAAGTGGGTAGGAGAAGACAAGTAACAAAGATGAAGCCCCTAAAACACGGCTGCAGAATATACATACTGAAATGAGCTCAAGTAGAAAAAGAATTTAATCACAAAACTAAAGGGAAGGCATTGTCTTCAGAATTTGGGCCAACTACATCTGGGTGAATCATAAGTGTATGTGAGTGAATTTTTAAACAAACACTTGCAAATACGCGACTTAAGGGCATGCAAAAATTCTAAACAAACCTGTAATTGTTAAGTTGAAGAAGAATCCCTAAGCCTAAAAGCAACTGTATCCCAAGAAATCCAATCCCTTGAAATGGTGTCAAAAGACCACTGGCGATAGGTCTTAATCTTGTACGATCAACCTGGATAGAAAAAGAAATTTGTAAGCAACCCATCTTTGTTTATAGAAGAATGAATCCAGTTACACGAACGCTGTCTAGCTACCCTAACTACTCAAACACATATTTCAACCGAAAAACATATTCCACCTTCACCACATCTAATTCCTGGAGTCTTTCACTTTCTGAACAAAGCATCAGTACATGCAGATAAACTATTACGCAAAACAGAAATGTGACTAGAAATGTTGGCATTAATTGATCCGGCACACAAGCATCAAGACCACTTCCAGATGTCAAAGCAGAAACACTTTCACACCATAGTTACACAAAACATGTTTCGTAAACCAATATACTAAAGGGATAAATGAATTTGACAGCATTTTCTTTATCACCATACCATAAGACAGAGTAAAAACAAACTGACCTTTGTATCTATGTCCTGATCAAGCAGATCATTAATAGTACAGCCAGCACCTCTAAGAAGTAGTGCTCCGCAACCGAATAAAGCCATATATTTAAAACTTGGAAGGCTTCCAGGATCTGCAGCCAACGCAATCGACCTAGAAAACAATGATTGAGATTTAGAATTTCGATCTATTTACTTATCTCTGGAACCAGATCCTCGAAAAAAAATGGAATATGGTTATATAATTTAAAGACTATCAAACAGATAAGATTCCTGACTAAGAAACCCAGTTAAATTCCTATTACTATAACTTTTATAACCACCAAGAAAACTCTTGAGTGACGAAGAACCGTCATCAATCCTTAACCACAAAGCCACTCTCCCGTGCCTCTGAGTTGTTGAGAAGATTTATATAGCTTTGATTAAAAATTTCAAATGGCAGAATGCAAGAACTTCTCCACTAAAATGTAGTCTTACAATAAAGAGAAGAAAAACATATCTTTCAACTGCAAATCATTCGAAAAGCATCACCGCCAAAGCAACCAGGAACACACAGAGCTTCATAACTAAGCTACAGTTATTCAGAGGAGAAGATAAACTTACCACATACAGGGCCAAGCAAGCAACCAAGTTCCAATGGGTTTATCCAATCGAGCAAGCTTAGCATAACCTCTAACTTCTTCAGGCAAATACAAATCAATCCAAGAAGCTTCCTTAACACCACTCTTATCCTTGTCATCTTTCTTAGGCTTTCCCTCCATAACCGAAGAAGACGACGACATTCCACCAACTAATCTGTAATTCCAGCCAACACCAAGAAACTTCTCCTGATGCAATTCCTTCCCTTTACTCCATACTTGATAGTTATCATTCCATGAAGGATAATACTTAGTAAAAGGATTTGTGTAATGGGTAGTAACAGGATTGGACAAGGATTTATGTTGTGATTGCAAAACAGCAAAGGAAGAAGATGGAGTTACGGAGACGGAAGATTTCAACAACCGTCTTGAAACACGGGAGAGCCCAAAAAACGCCATCTTTGAGAGAAATTGTTGCCTGGAAGAAACAAAGACTTGAGATTTCAAACGTCTTACGAACGAAAGCTGACTTCTCAAGAGAATCAGAGTATGAAAATAAAAACTATCTAATTTCAGTTTCGAGAGATGAAGCCTCAAGAATCTAGAACGTCAATGGCGTTTCTAATTGTTCCCCACATGTGAAAATCAAGTAAAATGAAGCGACGAATCTCAGAGATAATCGAATTTCTAAAACAATCAAAGCCCAGAAAGAGATAAACGACCGACCAGTGATCAACGACGACTCCGGCGAGAAAGAGCACGTCGTCGTCTCTCGTAGCGAGACTTCTCCAGTAACCCCGATGGATCGTTAATGGGCCTATAGATTATTCTACTTGGGCTGATACAATTGGGCCAACAAAAACTTGGGGAATAATGAAGAAACACGTATGCTTTTAGGGTCCAAAATAATTGGCCATATAATTCGAATGAAATAAACTAACCCTACCGTACTGTATTTCTTGGAAATAAACAAAGGGAGTAATAACTTAAAATTATAACTGCAAAAAGAAAAAATCTAAAATATTATTATTAATTTTTATAACGCGGAAATGATAAAAGATAATAAGTTTATGGGACGTTAATCACAATTCACACACCCTAATAATCTATATCTACACTAGTTAAAGGAAACAATCTTTCATCCTTTTTTTTTTTTTTTTTTTTTTTTTTGATAAACCCTATCGGCTATCCGGTCGGCCCCGGTAGGAACGCACCGAGGTGCTACATAGTGGACTGGTCCACCGTGTTAACGGCTAGGCCCTTCGGGCTACCACTCTGCCTATCCCGAGTTTGGAATACCTTCCGACTAAGTGTCAGGGGGTAGTCAGACCGCCTGCATTTCTGACTACCAGGTAAACCAATTTGACCAAAGCCCAACTGACAGACTTCCCACAATAATGTTGATAACAGCTAGCAGGAGGAATCGAACCATGGAGATGAGGGAGTTGCACCCAACCACCCTGGGCCCGCCAAGCCACCAGCCCACCATCATGTGGGCTCATCTTTCTTTTCGGGATCCCAAATTTGATAGGATCGGGTCAGGACTTATGAGGGTGAGACACATAATTATTAGCCTTATCGGATGGGTGGGGTAAGGTTATTTGAATTCGGTGAGCAGTAATCAATCTCGTTGCATTAGTTTGATTGCTAATCTATAATCATCTGCATGGTCCACATGATCTGTCTGATCGATGGTGCATGGTGTCAGTTGCCGACCATAACACATAAATATACTTACTGTTTGTAGATATTGATCGTCATTACTCATTATGGTTCTTCTCCTTCATCTAAATATTTAAAGATCTTAAAAATCAGGAATATAAAATAAAGGTTTATCTGCAATTTGTAAAAACAAAATTCTATAACAATGATGTTTTTACGGTATATTTCTGTAGACTTCGTCATCAAGGTTAAGGGCATAACAGTCCAATTGAGGTGAAAATGAGATGTAAAACATGTGAGTGTGACCATATAATATACGTACTCTTGTTATTTAGTTAATTTCTAATTAGAATTTTACGTAAACCACACATACTAATATATACCACTAGATGTTTACTATAATCCATATATATGAAAAGTTTAAATTAAAAAAAAAAAAAAAAAAAAAAAACTGTAACATGTACATAACTGAACGTACTTTTTTTTATTAATAAACATTATATCGAAACCGATATATGATGAGCATAACAACATATTTATCAAAGCATCTTCCAAAACCAAACAGTAACATAGAATTGAAATTCCACAAGACCACATTTATTATATTGATAAAAACACCTTAATAATACATCGAGATAGTGATATACGGTGACTCAGTGAGGATGATGATTAAGCTTTGGCGACGTGGCCTTCAATGTCAACAACCATTTGCTTGACGAATTTCATGTAGCCGCTTGGTTCGGGAAAGTCATCGTTGCGCTTCTCCCATAGCATAGTGAGTTTGCAGACGCAGCTATCCTCAGATGTGGGAATAAATTGGTAAATGACATCAAACACTTTGAGTTGCTCCATCGCGTGGCCCTCCAGTCCTCTTTTCGTCAATGTTTTATTCTCATCATCTATCTCTCTCCTCTCTTTGAACGTCTCCTTCTTTCCATCTTTACACACATGTATGTTTATTAGTTACAATTTCCAACATCCGATCGACTAGCTAGTCATGCCATAAAGATGATAAATATGTGACTATATATCATGTGTTTACGTTTATATATATTTTTCAAACATATGACTTTTGTTTTCATATGTAAACAGAAATACAAAATATGATATTTTCATTTTTTGGTCTTATAGAACATCAATTAATGATCATATATTTCATATTTGGCAATAGACGACCAAAACTATATTTGGATATAATAGTTTTAAATCTCTTAAATAAATGTAGAGAGAAAGTATAAGTAAATGTATACCATATGTGTAGTCCCAACTCCTGATAGACCCGTGAGCGTCATGTTCGCCTTCGTGAACAACGACATTATGGATGTGTTGGCCGATGGTGTCAGGGAAGACATGGTTCTCGCTCTTCCAGCTCTTGTAGTGTTTCTCCGCCGATCCTTTCAGTGGAACCTCCGTCACGTATGTTCCCGACGTCGCCATTTATTTCTCTCTCTCTCTCTCGTTTAAAGCTTCCACTTGTTTTTTGATTGATGAGATTATACTAGTCGTCGCCTAGGTTTATATAGTGAACGTGACGGTTAAAAACATGCATGGTTTCTACCGTTTCTTCTCTCTATTTTTTTAACCATATACTATTTAATGAGTAAGAGATGTGTTATTTAATTATTTTTGTTTAAAGGCTTTCAATTAAAATCTTATTTAATATTGGACCACGTTATTAACGTGGGTAGTTGGCACTGCAGCATCCCTTTTAGAAGATAATCATGTACCATGATTCATGCCCCATACATCTTAATCACGAGAACAATTATTAATATCTGTGTATATGGTAATTGAATCAAATGTACATAAAAGCCAAGTGTTTAAACGATTTGTCTTTACTTTTTTAGGATATTCACTTGCTCTATTCTTTATTATATAATATATAGACGTTTAAAAAAAATCTTTATTTTATTTTATTTTCATGCAAAATGTAAATATAGACGTTGAATTGTTTTTCACTAAATACTAAATAAAAAATCATAAAAAGAGGAATATAAGATTCAAACCAAACAACCGATCGCCAAACAAAAACACCTCTAACCACCGCACCCCCATGATATTTAAACAAATAATGATGCCTACAATCTTTGTATGCGATTCAAACCCAGCCACCGAAGATTATGCCGGCTTTGTGTATCTCTACTGTTTTCCACCATGTATTATACGTAATACCTTGTATCCTCTTTGATAATGAAATGTAGACCAAACAAAAAAAAAACTTATATATGCTGCATAGAACAACAGTTTGTTGGGCTTTAGATTAAGGTCAGACATGGTCCGTGTGCCTCTAAATAGCATTATTGGTGTCGGCAAGTCATAAAGAACATTTTTGCTTCAAAGACTATTGAATTGCATTATATGGATTTTTAGTTGCATTGTTTTGCCATATCGCTCTCAAGAGAAATGATAAATTGATAATTTTTATAAGCGCCACAGAATCCAAAATGGTGTAGCATCCAAATTTCAGATAACCATAATTGTCTTGATATTTGTCTTGAAATCCACTGAGGGTGATTAAGTTTGGAAGATGGTGTGTTAGAGCATCTCCACGTCGTGATCGCATGATATCATAGCTAGTTTCACTCACAGACAATTTTTTTTTCTTTTTCAAACCTCCCATAGGCCATAGATAATATATAATCATATATGTATATAAAGTGTTGGAATCTATATATAGAAGCTAATTAAGGTATAATTAAGTAAATGTATACCCAGGGTGTAGAATTCCAATCTTGATGGCCCCGTGAGACACTACAAGAAAACAGCTGATTTACGACTGCAATATTAGTCGTAATGTAGTCGTTAAAAGACAAGTTACGACTACGTTACGACTATAAGCGGTAGTCGTAAATCGAGAGTCGCTAAATGTTATAGTCGTAATTTTAGTCGTTATTTACCGACTAAGTTACGACTATAGAGTGCAGTCGTAACAGTAGTCGTAACATAGTCGTTAAATTTAACGACTATGTTACGACTATGTTACGACTAATCTGCATATATTGTAGTGTAGTCGTAAAGATTATGGTGACTATTTTCCGACTGATTTACGACTGTTTGGCGACTATTTGGCGACTGTATTTAGAAGAAAAATGGCATAAATTTGTTCGATTTTCTATTTTGCATTGACCTAAAATGCTAAATTGAAAAACTAAATTGAAAAGTAAATAAGCTAAAAACATAGATTCACTTCATTTAAAAGAAACAAAGTTGAGTCATACGAAACAAAAAGAAGTCTTTAAAACAACTGAGAGAAGAACTTAGTTTATGTAGTTGGGGAAAGATTAAAAAGGAACCTAAACAAGAAGCTGATAGATAGGAGTTCAAGAAGTTGGGGGAAGACCGGTTGAGAGAGGCTCTGTGGTTTCTGCAGCCGAATGAGTCTTCATGAAGTCCAAAAAGGCCGGATCAGTTTGTCGGAGGTACTTCTCCACCAAGGACAAGTGCTCTAGCTTCTCCTTTTGCTCTTTTTCACGCCTTGTATTTTCAGCAGCCTGCTCTTCGATTTTTTTTTGAGCTTCCTTCAGTTGCTCTTGGATTGCCACAAAAGATGCAGAGTCTCCGGGTTGCTTGCGCTTGCCATTTTTAAGAATTCCCTTGAGGCTGCCAACTCCATAGAGAGTTCCTCTTGAATCCTTCTCAGTGGACTGTGAAATGACAGAGAAAAAGAATGTAGATTAGAACTCTATAAAAGTCAAAAAACAATATATGTGGATTGTGATAAATTGTACTTAACCTGAAGAAATATGGCTGTATATTCATCTGTTGTTAGCTCTCGAGGTCGTGAAGCGCCGTCCGAATCAGATGCAGTCTCTACCTCCAGCTCAGACAACTTCTGTTGCACATTCTTCTCATAAACCTTTGCTATTTTCTCTGCCTTCCCATCCACAAAAGAACCATCAGCCCTTGTATGAGTCTTAATGAAGACCTCACCAAGACTCACTGGTCTTCCCAATAGTTCTTCCTGCGATGTTTCAAAATATGTAATGATTAGCACAAAATCATAGAACAAAAGAGTGATAGAAAAAGACAGATATACTAACCAATTCGTATTGGATTTGCTGATATGACTTTGGCCCTGACAAGTGGATGTGAGGACCGAGACCATTACGGTCAGACATACGACACTTTGAATAAGTCTGACTCCTCTTCTGTGCTTCTTCAGTATCCCAATACGCAACCATTATTTTCCAGATATCTTCATAGATCCAGTCGGGTTTTTCACGACTCGTCCTCGCGTTGCTTACCATGTCCTTCATCCGGCGTCCACAGATTTCCTCGAACCACCATTGAACTGTCCCTGTTATCAAGGGATCCCAGGTGTGGGTTTTCTACAACACAAAGACATCAAGACCAGAGTTAGTGGAAGAACAAAAATGCAACCAGATTTGAAGGCTATAGGACATAAGACTTTACCGCAAACTCGAGGAAGTATCTTTCTTGTCTCTTACGAGGCACACAAGTCCAACTATAATAAGGACCATCAAATTTGTTAGTAAAGATTTTAGTAATCTTCCTAACAAGTCTTGATTTTTCATCGCGGTCAAACCTGCAGCATTTGTAAACAAGTGAAGAAGTTAATAGTATCAAACAAATCAAAACAAGTAAAGAAGTCAAAACAAATATCAAACAAGTCAAAACAATTCATAACAAGTATCAAACAAGTCATTACTAGTATGAAACAAGTAGATTGAACCTGCAGCATTTGTAAACAAGTGAAGAAGTTAATAGTATCAAACAAATCAAAACAAGTAAAGAAGTCAAAACAAATATCAAACAAGTCAAACAATTCATAACAAGTATCAAACAAGTCATTACTAGTATGAAACAAGTAAAATCAAGTATCAAACAAGTATCAAATCAAGTATCAACCTAAGATTATAAATCTAACTCAGACTCAGCAATTACTACAAGAAGTTTAAAAATAAAGAGACCAGATGCATGTGTCAAACGAGAGACCAACTACTAACCATCAAAGACAAGAATCATGTGTGAATACACTAACACATCAATACTATCAACCTAAAACATCAAACTAAGATACCTAAGAGACATCAAACATATCTTATAACACTCACACTCACACATCAATGGATCAAGAGACATATACCAAGTTGTGTTTGGCAGCGGCGTTGGAGAGAGGACGGTGGTAAACTTCTCGCGGTTTGGCACCAGAAGCAAGGCATTTAGATCCCTCACCGTGTCCTCCTGTAGCTCCGGCGACATTGGTTCTAAAGTATCCTCGAAATTATTCCCTTGAGATGATGGATGAGACTGACCCTGAGAGTGATGAAGTGGAGATCCTGGAGGATCCACTTGTTCAGGAGGTTGCTGTCTAGGATCCCGAGAAGGTTGTTGTCGAGGTTCCTGTTGTCGAGAAGGTTGTTGTCTAGGATCCCGAGAAGGTTGCTGTCGAGGCTGTTGCTGCTGGACTTCTTGTTCAGACAACCCATGGTCTTCACGTGGTTGATTCACCGAGCTCTGGAAAAGCCTTTGTGGCGGTGGATAGTCCCGAAAATGAGAAGCTCTTGACGAAGACAGTTGAGGGGAAACGCGGACTGGCTGGACTTGCTCTAGGGGCGACTCAGGCTGAGGAATCTGCTCCTCCGGCGCCGGCGTGAACTCGTATTGAGGAGGTAAAGGGTTTTTTCTTTTCGATGTGTTGGGTTTGGAACCGACTGGCCTCTGAGACACATTTGGAATGGAGAATCTCTTGCGGCCTCGACGTTTGTTGTTAGCTACAGGCATGGCTAGATCGATTTGAGAATGAGCAAGAGATTTGAGGAAGAGATTGACGAAGAGATTCGATTTGAAGAACGAAATTAGGGTTTCGTTTAGGAATTTGATTAGAGGTTCGATTTGAGACTAAGGAAGAGATTGAGGAAGAGATTGACGAAGGGAATCGAAGGAGATGAAGAATCGAGGATTCGATTAGGGTTTGGAAAAGGGGATCGGTGGGAAGAAGGAGAAGAGAGTGAGAATGAAATTAGGGTTTATGTGCTTCTCGATTCCCTTTGTGCGTTTTCTTTAGAGGGAAAACGAGTGGGCATGCCGAATTGGGCTTAAAATTTGGGTTTGGTTTCGCGGTTTTTATTAAACCCAAAATTTTCACTATAGTCGCTAATTTGTCGCCAAATAGTCGCTATTTTAATTTTAATTTTAATTTTAATTTTAATTTTTAAGAGTATAAAGTTTAATTTTTATAGTTTATAATAATTGTATTGATGGTTTAGAAACTTTAATTTATAAGTAAATGGTTTTTATTTGTAAAAAACATATAATGGTTAATTATTAGTTTTTATGCTTTCTTAATTAACTTCTAAGATTCAGAATTAAAATTTTCATGTTTGTAGTTTATGTGATTTAACTTTTGGAGGTATATATATAGATAATGTTATATATTATAAGTTTTAATTATAGGGATATTAAGTTTTAAAAAATTATAACTAGTGTTTGATTGAGTTATTGGGGTTTATTTAAGGGTTAGGGTCTATATTTAGGGTTAGGATATAAGTTTCAAAATCTTAATTTGGTATCTATGTATATAGATTTAGGTTACTTAAATAGCTACTGATTTCCGACTAATAGACGATTGATATAGCGACTCGGTTATATAGTCGCTAAATGGCGACTCATTAACGACTAAACACAAATAGTCGCATAATAGTCGCCAAATAGTGGCTATACAGTCACAAAATTAAGCGACTACTTCTATAGTCGTTATGCATAGTCGGCAATCAGCTGTTTTCTTGTAGTGAGAGTCCCATTCGCCGTCGTGAACGGTGACACTTTGGATGTGGTGGCCGATAGCGTCAGGGAAGGCATGGTGTATATCCTTGCCCTTGTTTGAAAAATCGCTAGGCGCTAGTCTGGCGCTAGGTGTGGGCCTAGCGATTAATCGGAAAATCGGATTAAAATCGGGGATTAATCGGGGATTAGTTTTAGGGCTTTTTATCTACCTATATCTATAATATACAAGTTTCGCGCAATATAGAAGAAATTATAACGTAGTACAGTGGTATGTTCACACATTATGCTCAATAAACCAGGGATCGACCAACGAGCTGGCGTTTTTTTGCCTTCTTTTTTGGTTTTTGCTTTAATGAAAGTTAAATTACCATTTTGCCCCCGTCTTCTTCACAATCCTGAAATCCCTAATTTCGCCGCCTCCATGATTTCTTCCGGTTTTATCATTTTTTTTTTCGTTTTTCTTAATGTTTTACAATCAATTATGATGGATCTATCAACTAACTATAGATTTGTAACCTAAATCGAAGAAAAAAGTATAGTTTTCTCAATATCCCGATTTTAATTACCGAATAGGTTAAAATCGCGGCGGCTGCACACCGCCGAGCGTTTTCTCGCCGCCTAGGCGGCCTCCGCGGCCGCGTTTTAGAACAAGGATCCTTGCTCATATCATTTTCATGATTACTCACTATATATCTCTGAATAACGTTTGTGATACTTGGCAGCATCGTTGACAAATAAAGTCAGTCTGAATATCTATTATTATTATTAAGAGTTTACCTGCGCTGCGCATGGACATTTAATTACGTTTTGTAAGGATTTCATATTTAGTTTTGATTTCATTTAAAGCAAAACAAATTAGTTGTATCAGTGTATGAAATTATATATGTGTAGATAGTTTGTTCACGATATATGACTTAAAATCAGTATGTATTATTTCGTCGAGTGAGCTGGATGGAAGCCACCGGCCGATAGCTAATGTAGATGATAAGAAGCAAAAATTATGTAAAGTATTTCATTCCTTTTCTAAATAGTTTGTTTTTATTTTCTTTTCAAGTCTATGCTCAATGTAATTCTATATGAATTTCAACATATTTGTTTGAAAGCGTATATATGCAGTTAGTGAACTAAATTTGCGATTAAAGCTTGTTAAAAGAACATTTTCTTCTTTGATCTGAACTTTTGATTGAAGACATTAAGGGGCTGATTGGTAACGACTATTACTTTTGGCTGTAGAGACTTTCGCTGTAAGGACTTTGGCTGTAAAAACTTTGACTGTAGAGACTTTAACTTTAGAGACTTTAACTGTTAAAATGTGATTGGTAACAAAAAAACTGTAGAAGCTGTGGCTGTAAAAATTATGATTTTAAATAAAATAAATTACAGTGAATATAAACTCAAATTTTAATATAACAACGAAATTCATACAAAGAACTTTATGAAAAGTTTTTATCATTTATATTTCTCTATTTTTGTATCAAATGTAATATCTAATGTTTTTTTATATACATAAATGGATCTTAAAAGAACAAGAAAAAAAACCAATTATAAATTAGTTAATATTTTTTAAGATTAATTTTCCAATGAATTTTATTAGAAGTTTTCATATAATGGGAAAAAGAAATTAAGGAAAACCATTAATTTTTATTTTTTTTTATTTTTAAAAGTCAGGTTTACATGGCTTTAGAAAAAAACTGAATTCAAAGAGTAAAGAAAAAAATAAGGACTTTGAAGGCTTTAAAATTATTTAAAGTCAAAAAAGTTTGATTGACAAAATAAAAACTTTAAAACTTTTGTAAAGCCTTAAAAGTGCTTACCAATCACCCCCTAAATTCTAAAAGTTTTTGCCTGACCCATTTACACATATAAAATTAAAAATTAAATATGTGTGTCTTTTATATGTTTCTTCATATCTTTGTTTTTTTGAAAAAAAAAAAAGAAAAAGCAAACAAAGAGCGCGAGAATGAAAGAGAGATATATACACATTGAAACATGTACATTTAAATAAAAACTCCGAACATATTTCTCTTCCAAAGTTCTTGGTTCTGGGATACCGTGCAAGAATATCAATGTTAAATCCTTAATAGTATTGTCGTAACGTAATGTTCAAGGAAAAACTGAAGTAGCCCATCTCATTTGATCTAACCAAAATTATTACTAATAAAATGAACTCAACACCCATCCTACATTCCTACTAAAAAGAGAAAATAATAAACTTATGGGACTGATGAGTTTCCTTAGTTTACCCATAGAGGTTTCAAAAGAGACTATGAGACAGGCTCATCAAACAAAAGCTGAGCAGTTTACTCACTCTTTAGTCTTTACTCTTTAGTAACCAGGATGGATATCATCAGTGGCCCATACACTTGGTCTTTCACGCCAAGAAGAACTTGGGGTCTAATTAAGATATACATATGACGATTCAAATCCTCTCTGTTAATGCTTTAATTAGGATCGGGTCATGACTCATGAGGGTGAGACACATATTAGCCGTATCGAATTTGTGGGGTCGAGTTATTTGAATTCGGTAAGAAGCAAGCAATAATAAATCTCGACTGCATCAGAGTAGTTGCATTTTTCGCAAAGAATATATTAAAAGCATCTGCATGGGCCAGCATTTTAACATCAATCATTGGACGCATATATTCGTTACAATTTAATAAATAATGATGTAGCTGCATGGAAAGTCCGATATTGGATGATCTATCTGGGTGCTACTTAATTATGGTCGTAAACTCAAAGTTTTACAATCAGGCACATTTACAACAAAATATATACTAGATCAGCGGGTACTTAATTTGGTATGAAGTGAAAACTTTTTAATTTCATGTTTCATAAACATGTATAGAATAAATATTTTACTATTTTTAGATGTCGTTTTTATGGTTCTTTTCCTCAATCGAAATGCTTAAGAATTTAAAAAATAGAATATATATATATATATATATATATATATATATAGAAAAAAAAAACAAAGATAAAGGCCTTGAATAGTTATGGTTGTTCAAATGGTTTTTGGTTTTAGTTTTCCAAAAATACATTTTTAACTATTCAAGATTTTGAAAAAAGTGGATTCCCTAAAAAATAGGGAATCTAGATTCTAAGAGTTTATACTAATTTCTTAACAAAATCTAAAATCTCATTTCAATGAGTTTTTGAGAATTTTTTCTACGAAATCTTTTTTTCTCAATTTTCCATTTGTTTATTTATTTTATTTTTACAAAATTCAAAAACCAAAAACAAGAATCCAAATTCTAAAAACTAAAATCTATAATCTAAAAACCTCCTAAAATCTCCCAAACATTCATGATGTAATACGAAGGCCTTTGTTTTGACAAACAAATCGACCTAAAATATAACAGAAAATTTGAAAAATATCAAGTCAATATATTTTTTAGAATCTTTTGCAATTTATAAAAACTGTATTTTTTAGAATTTTATGAAAAATTTTGCTGTCTATTTATGTACGTCACCAAGATTAGGCTCAAAACAGTCCAATTTGAGGTGATAATGAGATATTGAGATGTATAATATGTGAGTGTGACCATAATATACGTAGTTCAGAATTTTGCCTAATCCATACATACTACATCGTTACCTAATACCAGTAGATGTTTACTAATCCATATATGAAAAATTGCAAATAAAATAAACACTGAAACAACGTGTAATAACTTATTCTTAAGAATCATTATATCGAACCCGATATATGATCATGAGCATAACAATATATCAAACCATCTTACATAACCAAACGGCAACACATAGAAATGAAACTCCACAAGACCCCATTTATTATATTGAAAAACACCTTAAGTAAATCGAGATATACAGTGATGATGATGAAGTTGGTGATGATGATGGTGACTGTCACCGTGGGGATGATGATTAAGTTTTGATGACGTGTTCTTCCATGTCAGCAACCAAGCTCTTGACGAATTTCATGTAGCCGCTTGGTTCTGGGGACTCATCGTTGCGCTTCTCCCATATTAAAGTGATTTTGCCAACGCAGGTATCCTCAGATTTGGGAATGAATTGGTAGATGACGTCATACACTTTGAGCTGCTCCATCACGTGACCCTCAAGTCCTCTTAACGTCAACGTTTTAGTCTCATCGTCTATCTCTCTTCTCTCCTTGAACACCTCCTCCTTTCCATCTTTACACATTTATTGGTTAAAATCTAAACCCTAGAGAGAGCTATATACAAAAATACGTTCTTTAACTAGACCAAGACCAAACCAATCATGCCATCAAAAAAAATACACTAGACCAACCAATCTAGATTATATGTTGACTGTATGAACTCGATTGTTTGCTTCTTCTTTTTTGCGTTGTTTTTCGTGTTTAATGTACGCGTACACAATCATGTGTCCAGTGTTTGCGTTTACATTTTTCAAAATATTCTTAATTAAACAAGTGAAAAACACTTTACTTTTAGAAAACCTGACTTTCGTTTTCTTATGTAAACATAAATTGCAAAATATGGAAACTGAAATAGTCAAGAGCGAGACATCAAGACCTATATATTATGAATATATTTAGATGTATTCTTGAGATACTTCTGAAAATATGGTACAACTATGTAGTATTATTATTAATTTGTTTTTTATAACATTCATTAACCCTAGACTACTTGGCATTTTGCGCACCAAAAGATCAAAACCCTAGTTTCACACATACACCACTATTGTGTGTGTGTATAAACTGTTAAATAATAGATATAAAGAGAGAAAGTATAAGTAAGTGTATACCCCAAGTGTAGTTCCAACTCCTGATAGAGCCGTGAGAGTCATGTTCGCCTTCGTGAACAATGACATCTTGGATGTGGTGGCCGATGGCGTCAGGGAATACATGGTTCTCGTTCTTCCACCTCTTGTAATGTTTCTCGGCCGATCCTTTTAACGGAACCTCCGTCACGTACGTTCCCGACGTCGCCATTTCTTTCTCTCTCTCTCTCTCTTTCGTTTTAAAGCTTCCACTTGTTTTTGTATGTTTTGTTTTGGTTGATGATAACACTTGTCGTCGCCTTGGATTATATAATGAACGTGACGGTTAAAAACATGGTTTCTACCGTTTTTTTTAATCATTTTGATAGTACTGTGCATGCTAGAATCTTCTTCTCTTCATCTTTTTTAACCTACGTCCTATTTAATGAGCACTGATGGGTTGTCATAGAAATGTGTATTTTAATTGGTATAGGCTGATTTTCGACCACCACGTTATTAATGCGGGTAGTTGCCCCAACATTCTTTAGAAGATAATTATGCCCCACACACACATTAATCGTAAAAACATATATTGGCATATTAAAATTTTGGTAGGAAATTGATAAAAAAAAAATTCACTTTCTTACACCGTTTTCTACTGAGATTTCCTACTAATTTATATTTTTAGAAAATATCATACCATTTTTTCGATTTTCTATGGAATTTTGACTTTAATAATTTTTTATATATATAAAAAGATCGAATGAGATCCATTTTTCATAGCATGGTGATGCATTAGTAGTTCGGATTTGGTTTGAAATGATTGGCCGAACTACGTTATGATTTGGTCTGTCAAACCATAACAATTTTCGAGACCTAAAATAATGTAAAAGGGGGGATACATATTCGCCATACTTTATCTTAGAAAATTATTTAAGTATGTTATTGGGATTGGAAAATGACAATTTCGTGTCTAGAATATACTCCATATAGTTATATAGTTTGGTATATTGTTTTTTCCTTTATATTTTTATATTGCTATGGACCATTCATCGATCATTGTTGACATAATTGCATCTTATAAGATGAATCCAATCAAGTTACGACACCAAATGCGAGCTTTATGAACAATCGATTCATATATTAACGTCGACTTAATATGTTTTACCATATTTTAAGAATCTCTTCATTGGTTATATTTTCTTGGAATATACATTAGTAACAAAATGGTTTGATCTTCATTAAGTACAAACTTTGACATTGTATACTATATGCAAAAGCTAATCAATGTTTCATTTGATTCTTAAGCTTTAACTTATCTTGAATCCATACAATTTTTGTTCAAAGCGTTGATATCCCCACACCACATCTGCCCTTGCCATTGTACAAAATAAAATAAAAATCATATGAATCCATTAGAGATAATTGAATTCCATTAAACATTCACAGCCCAGACCCCAAAGAAAGAAAAATAAAATGAAATCGGATTATACACGAATTCAACCGACTAGTGGAAAAAAACTTAACAACGACTTCGGCGAGAAAGAAAAATGTCTCGGAGCGAGACTTCTCCAGTAACCATGATGGATCATTAATGGGCCTATACATTATTATTCTACTTGGTCCAGCTTCGATCGGCCTGATAAACATGGGCCAGCAAGTATTTGTGATCTAATGAAGAAGAAACATATACATTATGACGACGATTAGAATCCTCTCTGTTAGCGCTTTAGGATCCAAATTAATTGGCAATAGAATTAAACCAACCCTAACCTTACTGTATTTGTTAAAGAAAAAAGTTACTCTATATCCAATTTTATTATTTGAAAAGACAGAGGGAGAAATCTTTTATCATATTGCTTACTTGGTTAAAAAAAAGTTACAGTATCATATTGCTAATTTGAAAAGACAGAGGGAGACAACACCATCTTAATTCGGAAATATCTATCCCCTTGAAATAAATCACATAATTATAGATAAACAAAAAGATAACACCAAATAGAAAGGAAAAACAACAAAAACACTTATTAGTAACACATTATCTCTGTGTTAACATCCAATTTTCAAACAAAAACATATTATTACCTAGTAACAATCATAGAGCTTAATATCCATCTTAACTCTGAAATACTTAGCCCCTTGAAATAAATCCGTCACGAAGGTAGCGATCCCACGAGCCATGAAGAAGTCACCTGTCCCACCAACGACCGATAGATCTCTTGTTGGCTCCATCATCAAATCAGCACCCATTATGTTCAATGTCCCTTTGTGTTCCGTTGAGTTAAACACCAACGTGTAGCAAAACCACGCATTGAAGTCCATCTTCATGTCATAGAAATAGAAGCCTTGTGCGCGAGCCAGGGGTTTCGAGAGATAGTTCCTGTCCATTGTTATGGGGCCATCGAAGATCACAAACTTACCAAACTTGAAGTTTCCTAGTCCCGGAGGGCTTACGATAGCGGCAGAGGTTGCGTTTGCTACATTGTCGCCATCGTAGAGGATGTCATGGAAATAGAACGAGAAATGTTTGCAGGGTTTTTTCTGATCAATTGTTTTTCGGAACGATAGGACGGTATCGGAGAAGAGAAGACCTAATAAGAAGAATGAGAAGAGTGATTTGAAGAGTTGTTTAACTACTAGAGATGACATTGTTAGCTAGAGACTAGTGAGTACTGGATTGTGTAAAATGAAGAAGACTTAGCCCCATTTATATAGAAGTGTATCCACTTGTTTTAATAAATTGAATTTATTTGGATAATAGAAAGAAATTTCAAAGTTTGAGGGACACAGCTAAATGGGTTGTTGATCTTTTGCCAATTTATATTTAAGATATAAATTAGAGTGAAAATAAGGTTTTGCGATCATGCGGAGGGACAAAAGCGGGGTTGGTGGTAACTAAGCTACAACTTAATTTCACTCTCTTGATAGAACTTTATTATTATTTTTTCCAGGGAAAGATATGTATAATAATTTGATACTATTAAACGGTTTGGTGAGTCCAACCTAAAAGCATAAAGTCGAAGGCTAGCTAATAAAACACAGCAAGTTGAGTATATACTAATTAGATTGAAATAAATTTAAACAAAACTAAAGTGTTACGCAGAAATGGAAAAACAAATCAATTATTAAAAAAATCTTTAGGAAATATTGCTTTAAAATATCGAACGCCCATCACCCATGTGCGGTCCATATGGTTTAAATTAGGTAACTTGTAAAATAAATAACCAAATCACGTTCTAGCTTTGCTTCTAAGATTGCTTATACTAATCAACCATTTTCTTCGTTAAAGGAAATTACAAAGATATGAAAATGAAACTCGACGCAATATCTACAATGGCATTGTGGTTGGGTACTACTGTAACACAGTATCCACACATACATACCAAACACATGCGAAACATTAAAAAAAAAAAAAAAGTTTAACCCGCATGAAATAGAAGAAAGATGGACTAAACCATATTTTTAATCGAATAAAAAAACCATATTTTTAATCGAATAAAAAAAAACCATATTTTTTAAATTACTTTTGTTAAGTAAACCATATTTTTAATCGAATAAAAAAAAACTAAACCATATTTGGGTTATGTCGTAATACTTTTACATTTTCAGTTTTATTTTTTTTGTTAAACTCACTAATAAAAACTTGAATTGTTGACAAAAAACAAAAATCGCAAGTTTTACATCAATTTACATCTTTATTCGTGTAATTACGGACTAACGGATATTGAATAATCAACTCCAGATTTAAACAAGATGCACAGTTGATGAAACAATGTGCGAATAAAGATGTTGGATTGATATGGTACGAGTTTTGCAAAGAAAACCAAAAGTGTAGATCGTCAGGAGGACAGGAGCATGATCATGAAGATGTTTATATAAAGTTAATATTGTTATTGTATTTTATGTATATAGATGTTATAATTATACAAGGGCATGCTCGTGTACTAGAACAATTATTCCCTCTATCGCTTTACTTTCAGTGTAAGACTAACATATAAATAAAAACAATTATGTGCGAACCCCGTTATAATCAAGTAATTCATTTAAGAAATCGTCTTATTCTTTCAATACGACTCTTTTTCAATATTTTTAAAAAAATCGTCCTATTTTCTATTATTAATTTTAAAACTAGTATATAAGTCAATAATATTTTTCACTAACTCCTTCCTAACACATGAGTAAAGGCACAAACGTCAAAATGTCTAACAAGAGGATTTGATTAAAAAAGGAAAAAGAAGTTCAAAGGGGTTTAGTTGCCTAACTCCTCTTTTGTCCCTTACTGATTTCAAAGTAGACCCATGTAGAAAAAGTAAACAAACTTCTAAACCAATTATGCTAAAACAACTGAGACAACGTAAGAAACTTCACAAAGATCTTATCCTTCAAATTAGAAAAAAGAAAAGAAACTAAAAGACCTGAACTAAAGCCTCATAAAATGATCTGAACTAAAGTTTTCTAACAAGTCCTCTGAAAATGGAGAAGTTAAAACAGAGGTGAATATCAAACCAGACCGCCATGTCATGAACTTGGTTGTAGAGTCTTGGTTTAACTCGGTGTCGTGCAAGCTCATGTTTCTAAGACTTTGAAGCGAGTTAAAAAAAAATTACATTGTTTCTATAGTTTTCTAAAGATAATTATAATTTAGTTTCAAGAGATTATTAGGATATAAAAAAAAAAAAAAAACACTTTCCTTAGTACGGAAATTGGTTTTGAACTACTACTAAGACTAGGTTTTTAGAATTGATAGTTATCTGGGACTCAAGGAAAAGGCCATTTTTGTTACAAAATAAGCACATACTTGGTTTTAGTCTGAAGCATGATGCATCGTAGAAGTCGACAGCTCTGCTGCATGATTTACCATTGGTTTTTCTCTCTTCTTTCTCTAAAACACACTAACAAAATAGTCGTCAACTACAAAACATTCCATAAAGTCGTCAATTAATTTCCATGGAAGTTCGGTAATTTTCTGAACCAAATTTCCATCTTGAAAACTAATTTGACATATAACAGGAACTGTGAAAAAACTATATAGAATCAAATTAGAGCATTTTATTCGCCGTTGGTAGTTCAATTGATGTTATATTAGTTGGTCATGTAAATTAAAAGAAGAAAATGTCACGGAGACCTTAGCTTACAGAAATCATATATACGTAGTTATTATTTACAATATGAAACAAACGTTATTACTTATTATACAAGCCAATCTTTGACCTTTCGAGTCTTGGAATCACAAAGATAAAATTCACTAAGGACTCTCTGAATCCTCAACCAGCGACTCAATTGTGACGTTCTTCGAACCCACGACCGGACGGCTTGTTGTGTACTGTTGCACCACCAACACTGACGCCACAGTCGAAATACTTTCGCTTGCCGTAAACAAGTTCCCGATCGGTCCAAGCTCCGGTGTGTCGCTTCTTACCAAGTTTACCCCTGACGCCACTAAACCTTCCGGTGACTTCCCCACCAAGAAAAGGTTACTTCTAGAATACTCATTAATAACCTCGATAACTTCCTCGTAACATTTCACGATTTTCTCTTCGTAAACGATTTGAGATTCCGAATCCGAATTAGAACGAGAACTTTCTTGTTCTTTTATCTTTGCTTTAAGTTCGGTTATAGCTTCAATATCAATCAATCTGGTTTCTCCTGAACCAACCTGATCTTCGATTATCTCAACCTTCACGTTTTCCGGTTTAAATTCCTCGCTAGGAATAAACCGAACAACGGTTAAGGTTATCCCGGGATGTTCCGCCATTCGCACCGCAAACGCTAACGCCTCGCGATCATCATTCCCTCCAAAAAACAAAACCGTTATAGCCAACGAGAAATCACTAGACGCGACACGTGTCGTACCACCAAGTCCACGATCAACCAGAATCGCAACAGAACATGGAGATTCCTCCATAACCTTCTTGTTAATCCAACGGTAATCGTTTCGAGTCGTCTCCCATGTTCTGTCCAGCCTAACGTGCTTGTGAAACGGAAGAATCACCATAGCGGTTTTCTTGCGTTCTGCGCTTTGGCAAATATCCTCATGTATAGTCGCCATTGGTGAGATAGCCGTCATGGGACGTACTGAGACACGACTAAGTCGCCTGAAAGCTTCAAATGCAACCACAACCATGTCGGAAGAAGAACTATTGTTCCCTGTTTTGTCTTTGTTCCAGAAAGGAAGGCCGTTTCTCCGGACCTTGTGTACCATAAGTATAGCCGATGATCTCTCCGAAAGCTCCATAAGATGCATCGCGTAGACTGATAGATTTTCTTTACGGTTTATACCTCGGGATGCTTCTATGAGGTTGACAATCGTGGGGATGTTCATTATGCTTTGGAAACAGAACATGAGACAGAGCGGTTTGTTTGACCGGTTCGTCTCCTCCACCGTTCGGTTCTTGTAATCACCTTTGGTTAAGGATTTACCCGGTTTGTACACCGCTAGAACTAGAGGAGTCGTCATGAACGTGGTGAAAATCGCCATTAGAACCATTATAGCGAAAACTTGATCGTTCAGAACCTGTTACAACACATCAAATAATTAAGTAAACATGCAAATATTTTTGTAAAACGTGATCTTTAATTTGGAATTTGATAGACTTACCCCTCTGTCTTTACCAATGTTGAGGACGATGAGCTCAACAAGGCCTTTCGTGTTCATCAAGAAACCAAGCGCTAAAGACTGGTCAAGCGGAACTTTGCAGTAAAGGGAAACTAGGACTGTACCAACGATTTTACCGAAACAAGCATTAAATATAACCAAAACCAAGAGTCCCCAAGACTGAGCTCCTTGGATCGTCGCCACATCCGTTTTTAAACCACTTGAGACGAAGTAGAGCGGCAAGAAAAGTCCTGACACAAGATCCTCAACTTTCTCAACCAAAGCATTCGCGAAATTTCCTTCTTTAGGGAAAATAACCCCGATCACAAACGCACCGAACAGCGCGTGGATCCCAATCAAGTCCGTGACGAAGCTAGCTGCAAGAACGATACCTAACGTGCAACACACGTAAAGTTCATTTATTGGTTCTCCTTCAGGACAACGTTTAGCAATCAACTTAATCCCTGGTTGCACAACAAAGATACAGAACAGAACGAAACCGCAACCCGAGAGAAACACCCAGAGAGATGTTAGCGGAGAGCTTCCCTCTCCAGAGAGAGCCACCGCGAGAGCAAGGAGAATCCAAGCAGCCACGTCATTGACTGCAGCAGCCGACAAAGCAATCTTTCCGATATCAGTGGTTAGAAGCTTGATCTCAGCGAGTATTCGAGCCAAGACAGGAAAAGCGGTAATGGAGAGAGCAACACCCATGAAGACAAGGAAAGGAGCTTTGCTGACTCCATCAGCTATGGAACTGCGAAGAGCAAAAGAAGTTCCAATGCCTAATATAAAAGGAAGAGTGATTCCGGCGAGAGCGATAGAGAGAGCTTTCTTTCCCGTTCGCTTGAGGGATTTGGGATCGAGCTCGAGACCAACGAGGAATAGGAAGAAGATGAGTCCTAAGTTTGCAAGTGTGTCTAAAACCGTTAGACTCTTTGGTGGGAAAATTGTGTTGATAAACTTTGAACTTTTCCCAAGTGCTGATGGTCCAAGTAATATTCCACCCTAAAACCACAACATAAAACTCAAATTTAAATACATCATAATTCCAACAAAAAAAAAAAATTAATAATCAGTGATATGTGTTTAATTAAAAGTGTATTATTCATCATCCACGACTGACTAATCAAAGTTAAAAATCTTATCTGTTGAAAATGTTGAAATTTATCACTTCCCACAAGATTCATAGGAACGTGGATGCATAAACGGATATTATAAGATATTATTAATATCTCAAAGCTTAACGTGTCAGCGAATTTTGTGGAAGAAAACGAATATTCTGATGAAAGTTCCTACGATATATACGTCATAAACAAGCCCGAAGACTAATTCAAGTGTATGATTGGGGCTACTAATTTTAACTTTTAATGTAAATTTCCGAAAAAATCCGTCACCTTATCGAATTATTGATCAAACTTGTACTATCTTTGACTTTTAATTAGACCCCAAAAATGGATAATGAGATTTTTAAATAATAAACTTTGACCCCAAAAAAAAGATAAATCATAAAGAAGTAAAGAAACGTACGACAATCTCGGCGATTACACGTGGCTGCCGGAGAGGACGGAGGAGAAAAGCAAGAAGACGAGTGAGAAGAAGAACGATACAGATCTGAAGTATCAGAAGAGGCAACGCGTGATCCAGAGGATTCTCTCCTTGGAACACTCCATTAGAGGTTGCTTTCATTGGTCCTGGACATGTTGTCCCGTTTGTTCCCATGCCTTAAGATCTGACAAATGATGACTTTTCTACGAAAATTAGTGAAAAGTGAAAATTGATGATCACTAAATTTTCTTGCAATTTCCGGGGAAAATAGCACATGAATCGATTAAGGACTTTTTAAGTATTGTTTTTATCAGCATTATAGGTAATATTATGATTAGTCAACTGAGAAACCTAACAAAGAAAGTGAAATTTAAGATAAATTTTCTTGATAACATTATTTTTTCTCAGAAACCAAACAGATAAGATCAATACACGAGATTTCGTTTAGATAGAGAGGCGATACTCACGGATAAAAATATCTCTGAAAACGCTGATTGATCTAAAATCTTCGCAAAGGGATTGATGATTCGTTTTCGTGAAATTGGAATATTTTAAAGAGAGACTTGAGAGGAATGAGGATAAAATGTTGAGTAAGAAGCGGATGCAGTATTAGGCCGTTACTAGGGGTCTTTTTATAGGCTGCAAGTCGACCCAAATACCAGTAATGCCCTTGTTTGCGCGGGAATGATTTCTTCTTCTGTTTCTTTTTTTTGTTTAATATAATAAAACGGTTAAACATTATCTTTAGGTTAGGGACTTAGGGTTGGCAACTAGCAAACTGATTTCTTTAAAAATTGGTGAGAAATGCTTCCCAATTTGGACGGTATTTGGAAACTAGTAATAGATAAATATCTACTTATCTACTTGTTTTCGGTATGGAATATGTGAGTGGTACATTTTTAAAAATTATATTGGTTTATACTTTATACAAAGGTCAAGCAATAATGTAGTTTCACTATCACTAGCTAGTAATTCCTTTAGTCCCCAAGATCTGAGATTTCACATAATATTAGTCTTGTTTCACATATTTTAGTCTTTTTGTTTTGGTCAAACAACTAGTCTTTGTACTTATAATTTGAGCTCTTTGAATATTCCAATTCCCATTAGTTACAAAATTCTTATTCACTTATCAAATATTGGATTCTTACACACTCGTTTCATTGTATGCATGTTCTCATTGATGAGGATGCGTTCACATGATATGATTCGTCTTCTCTACTATCAAAATTCACCCCCAACATATACAGATAAAATTGATAATTGATATGATGAGTATAACCAAATTTATATTTAAGACTTCTTTTTTTTTTGAATAAAATATTAGAGACTTCTATTTTCTACTAATATAACACTTCTATTTTTATATATATATATATATATAACATTAATATATATCAAATGAGATGACACAGAAATTTGATAGGATATTCAGATAAAATTGCAAGTCTTACTTGTATACTTGCCCACTTGTAAGATAAGCCAAAATTACAGTCTGTTTTCTATCTTGGTGTTCATATTTCAGGCCACCAAAAGAAGAAAGCAAACAAATAGTCAAATTAGACTCTTTTCTAAATATACTCAAATGTATATTGTCTTTCTCTCTTAATTGGTTATCGTCGGTTCGCCACCATCACACACCTTTCTAGCGACGACGTAAAGTTGACCAAATTAAGTTTCTTGATCGAATTTTTTTGCTTTCTCTAAAACACAGAAGGATTTTCTTCCATATATCTCGTTGATCATGCATAAAAAGTATATATGACTAACTCCCGAATTAAAACACCGACCACCATTTTTATATACACATTATTAAGGTCTCGGTTGTACAAATGAATGAATAAGGCATTAGTTTGAAAAGATTATTTTCACAGCCGTCATATATATGGGATAACAAAGAGTGAATACATATCCAAATTCGATTAACACATTCAACATTGCAATTAATATGACAGATCACATATTGGCCTATTGGGTACCTGAATGAACCAAAAAATTTCAGATGTTTGGATTTGATAGAAAAGAAGGTCAAACATTTGTTTTCATATCCATTTGAGTTTTTCAATTTTTATATAGCTTTTCAACCAATATATATATATAAACTTTTGGATAAAACTCAGTTATAAAGATTTATTGGAAGTCTAAATTTATGGCACATATATATAACGATATATTAAAGTATATGTAATTAATAACCGGGCTTAACATGTACTACATATGATATTAGTTTGAAATAAAATCATTTTTGTTTTCAAAACAACAAAACCCATTCTTTCTCCCAAGTCCCAACATATTAAAGTATCTTAATATATTTGAATGTTCATCAATAACAATAACATTATAAAATATCATCAATCATACTTGTAAAGTCAGATTCCAAATTCAGTGTATTATCTTTACTAAGTTAATGTCAATGCTCGGTTGATTGAACATATAAAAATGTTGGTTGATTATTGGATCACTTAGAAAATTAGTTCTTTTAACGGGAATAACAATAATGGTACACAAACTATTGTCAGATTCTTGTCGAATCTAATTGCTGATTAATGTTTTAACATATACACACATTAACATTAACCATTAGTTATCCAAAAGTTTGGGATATGACTCATATGTATATGTAAGCGTTCGCAATCAGCTAGCATTCAGCAAGCAATTAAGTATGTTTAGATGTTTGAATCTATGATAAATGACATATATATATATATATATATACACACAAGAATACAAGATTATCATTGCAATATGTCTTAATGTACAAAAGTATTATCATAAATATAAATCGTAGTACTATACTCTTTATCTAACGCTGTGGTTGTGCGCAGTGTGCACACCTGTTACGTATATCTGTCAATCTGTCATGTTGAAATGGTAAACCACCCGAAGTTTAGATAACTAATAAGAGTGATTTTGAAATTGGAATCCGAATAAAATATTATCTATATATACGTTTTTGGAATACACTTAGCAAATAAATCCTAGAGTTGCTAAATATTTACAAAAAATGCCATTAGTTGGGTCGGGTCAATTTAAAGATTTTGCACCGGAAATATTGAAACGGATCTTTCCTTATATTTCTGCAAAATATTTGTTAATATCCAAAACCAAAAACTACATTAAATGGTTGCATTATAGATTATATTCTAACAAATCTGGTTTTAATGTTAACAAAATTTTTGCAGAAAATACAATCAAAATACAAATATATCATCTTAAACACTAAACAAAACAAACAAAATTAACAAAAAAATATAATTTAAATTTTAAATTTTTTAGTTATAAAAAATCGATCCGCGGGGTACCTCAAACATAGTAATTGTACACTAAATAATATAGAGATATAAGAGTTATACATTTAGAAAATTCAAAACATTAGGTCATATATATAGTTAATCTACTAAAAAAAATTACATTTTTAAAAAAAAAAAAATATATCCCGCGGTATACCGGGTTAAAATCTAGTTTATTCAAAACATTACGGGACGGCAAAAAAATACAACAAAAAAATGGTGGTTTCGGAGTTCCGGACACGTGGGAGGAATTAAGATACCGGTGACACGTGGATGTGTAACGTTTCGGCCATACAGAAAGTTCATTAGATTCTTTAAACATCATCTTTCATATATACTTGGTCATATAAATCGCTTTCATCGGAGAGTCAACTAATACTATAAGTTGAAGATCAATCTTTAGCCGAATTTTTCCTTTTTTTTTTTTAATGTTATAACAATCACAGTTCGTGTTAACTCTGAACTCTAGGTTTGGATAAGGATAATAACAACTGAATTTGATAATTATACCGATATTAATATTTATTAACGTTAAACGATGAGTTTGAATACAGAAAAAAAAGTACAAAAATCATACCATTTGATATACACAGTCTATGTATTATGTGTACTACTATATTGGTAATCCTACCGCTACGTAACCAATTACTATTAATGTGATTACTAATTACAAAAGTGGTAAGAATTAGTACTGCACACTACTGCTATGTCAAACTAATAATACCAAATAGATCTTATCGATAAAGCATATATATTATATATAAATGTGGTGATCATATACAGAGCCGGTCCTTGACATTATGTGGCCTAAAGCATGCTTAAACTATGTGGACTTCTTATATACTAATGATTAAAAAAATTAACATTAAAACATTATAATTTTTTTTGTAAATCATCAGATATAGTTGATGAAAAAAAACATTAAATATATTAACAACGTAAGACAATCTAATTTATTTCCGCTCACAAAAATAAACTTTTCTAATCTTTTCTTCAACAAATTCAGTGATTAGTTAGGTTTTCATAGTCGAGTAATAATAGATTAAATCAGAAATATATATACAGAAATGTAATTGTTCTCATTTTCGTGATCGTGATTCGTAAACATAGATATTGAATCTCACAGTTATATATGGTATTGAATCTCACAGTTACGCTAGTAATTAGTTCTGTTGTTCTTACGAAAATGATTAGCATGAGCACTTTAGCAAATAGAATCTATTAAAAAAAACTGGAGGGAAGAGAAGAAAGAGATAATTAAAGAGAGAACCTGGAAATATTACCCCAAAAAAGAAGGAACCGTGACTTCGAAGGGATTCGAATTCTATACCTACAATAAACTTTTGGACTATATAACCACTGAGCCAATATAACATTTAGAAAAATGTGGCCCTAAAATTTAGTTTATATTCAGTGGCCTAAAGCTTGTGCTTTAGTTGCTTTATGACAGGGCCGGGCCTGATCATATAGATGCATAGACTTTAATTTGCCCCAATCATATATGTTAGTTAATCATGCATGACGTAGTTTAATTATACATTATTTCTTTTGTATATCAACTATGGCCACGTAAGAATCCCATTCTTACCTCACCTATGATGCAAGGCTTTTAGTAGTGTATACTATCAGATAATCACATAACATATTAGATTAAAGGGGTGATTGGTGTTTAGTAGAGTAATCAGTAGAAAACAAGGAAAAAGATAAAGATAAACAAAAAAGTAGAACTGAGAGGAGGAGTAAACAAAAGGTAAAATTAGATCATGTATTGTAAAAACTATAGTGAACGCATCAAAATTTGCAAAGAAAGCTTAGGCTATGATCACCCTCTTCTTGTTTGATTCCGAGGAAAGATCAAGACACAACGTTTTTGTATGTTATGTACCGGTGAATATGCTATTCCCACATTGAAACAGAGCAAAAACACGAAGAACACCACTCAGTGTGAGGCATATTTCAATGGCATTCGATAGAGCTTCACAATGTTGTTGTCCTAGATTAATAGAAACAGTTTTCAGTTTGAGTTTTCACTTTGTCCTTTGTCTACCTCTCTGAAATTCTAATCAACTTTGCAGTCATCTGAGAGATGAATGAATAAACAGAGAAAAGATGTTTAATTTATTTGTTAGCTTATTTAGTTTGCAATGATTACGGAGAAGGAAACACGTAACGAATTGAAAAATACATAGACATGCTAATTAATTATTTTTTGTTGGAATGGAACATTCCTATATAAATGGGCCTAATATGACAATTCCTATTAAAATGGGCCTAATATGTTTAAGGGTAAAATGGGTTTCATAAGGCCCATACTTTTATAATCAATGTTGTTGATCTATATTCTTCGTATTCAATTTTGATCTGTCTCCGGTCGTCTCTGTCTCTCTGTCCATTTTTCGTGCCAAAGAAGGTGAATTTCTTCTCATTGTTTCTCCTAGATTTCTCAACAAGATTGTACCTTTAGGTCTCTTTTTTCTGAATGCTGAATTGCGATTCTGGAATTTGGTTACTGGGGTTGAATAGATCTAACTTTTGACTCATTCGAATAAATTGTGAATTTGTGATTTGATCTGAAGAATTTTATTGATTTACTTAGAAAAAAAAGAGGTGATCGCATCTTATGCTTGATCCGATCACAGTTTTAGTCATTCATTTGTTTTGTGTAGTTTGTTTAAACAGTGTTGAAGTTCACATTTTTCGGATTGTGGTTTGATTTTTCACGTAGTTTATGTTGAAATTTATACAATGATTTGTGTTGTTTTTGACAAACAGATTTTTGAGGATTTTTTCAAGAAAATATGGAATCTACAGGGATCCAGCAACTGCTTGCTGCTGAACAGGAAGCTCAGCAAATTGTCAATGCCGCTAGGACCGGTAATTACTACAAGTTCTATGCTCAATCTGAAACTCTAGAATTGCTAATGTTTATTCATCGTTACATGTTCTTATAATTCTTTCGGGTTTCTACACGTTATTCGTGTACTGTGGATGTGTTTATGTGAATATATAGTGTTAGGATTGGATATATTATGGTAATCTTGTTGATAAGAGTGATGATAATGACATAGTGGTTGACTAGCATTTGATTGTAACTTTGAGCTCATTCGAGGAAATTTAACAGTTGGCGCTAAATGAGTTACAGAATTGCAGCTTGTTATTGAGAATGTGTATATGTTTTGGTTTTCAGCAAAAATGACTAGACTGAAGCAAGCCAAGGAAGAAGCTGAAACAGAGGTTTCTGAGCACAAAACCAGTACAGAGCAGGGTTTCCAGAGGAAACTCGAAGCGGTAACATTAATAAACTTGATCTTAAGCCACTAAAAATGTGTTCTTTTATCCAATCTTGGTTCTTTGAAACACGTTATTGATGAGAGATCTTGAATGTGAAAACAGACAAGTGGAGATTCAGGGGCAAACGTTAAGAGGCTTGAGCAAGAGACTAACGCCAAAATCGAGCAATTGAAGAACGAAGCTTCGAGAATTTCCAAAGATGTTGTGGATATGCTTCTGAAAAATGTGACCACAGTGAACAACTGAGTATATCACAAGGAAACCATCAACTGTTAAATGGTGTGACATGTTTTTTTGAGTGGATTCGTTCATTCCTTTCTTATATTGTTTTGTGGATCCCAGATTCGGAATCTGTTGGTTTTTATTTTCAATTTGTGTCCTGAGTTATTGTATTCATTTCTCCAGAAGATGCTTAGGACTCTTGTTTTTGTAATAAAATTGAGAACAAAGGAGTCCATTGGATTTTGTTTCATCATGAATACTGCAAAAATAAAGTCTAACTACATGACAGGGCATAGAGTCCCTAACAGTGAGTCGGACAATATCAAGAAAGATTTAAGTAAAGGCAAAGATCAATCAAAGGAAAACTGATCTTGTCCAAGTCAATTAGGTAAGTGTAAATTCGAATTAGGACCGTCTCTTTGTGGTTGATTAGGAAAGTCGCTTAAGAAAATATCTTTGTGAACCACATAAAGCATATGGTTGTTGAAAGAGTAGGACGACTTGAAAATGGAAATGGATCCATCATCCATCACATCTGGTATGTGAATGTGATCGTTAATCTTGATGGCGTTGGTCAATGGTAAGTTCAGTCTTTGCGGATTTTTAGCGCGTCTATGACCATTAAGAGCTAACGCAGTGCTAGTTCATGGCCTCTTGTACATTATGTTCATTATGTTCATGGCTCTTCGTCATTAGTTGGTCTTTAAAAGGTTTTTAAAAGAAATGTTGTGACTTTTTATTGATTGTAAGAACAATGGGTTTAATATGTTAACGAGAATGCGATCATCAATTTTTTTTTAGTTTTTTTTTTCTCATATAAAAAACTTAGAAAATGTAATTATTGGGCAAAAGAAGAATAAAAGAATATAGACTACTAGTAAAAGCAAAAAACTAGACTAATAATATAGGAATAAAAGTGTGTAGATAAGAAAAGGGAACTAACCGGTCTAAGCTTCTACACATTAAATAATTGACAGTTTCCAACATTATCTTAGTTTGTGTCCAAGTCCACGTACCAATGAAGTAAAGAAAAATATAAAGAGAATTTTTCTAATTTTTTCTACAAAATTTACCCAAAAAGTTCTAAATTTGAAGCTTATAAAAACCCATCACTACTTTTGCATACTAGTATCCATAGGGTATTTCCTCGCATCTACCATCCATTTTCTACGCCTCTCTCTCTCTCTCACTTTCTCCATCAAATCTTGTTTTGTTCAAACTCTCTCTCTCTCTCTCTCTCATCAATTCTCTCCATACAATACATGCATACATACATACATACCATCATCATCTTTTCCCATCTCTAATATTTCATCAATCTTTTTGTGTTCCAAACGCTCTTTCTCTCCATATACATACATACAAATCATTGTTGTCATAGATCCGTTTAGAATTGCTTTAACTTTTAGATGAGATCTAGGGTTTCTTTCTTTTTCTTCAAATTTTGCTGCATATTCTTCAAAATCATGCTTTTTCGCTATCTAGGTTATAGATCCATGCAAATATAGAGTAGATGTACACACACACGCTCAGACACTTACTACATACATGATGATACACTTAATTAATACTCGCTGTTTCGCGTTGATGTTGTAGGAATATATATGTATAGAGAGCTTCCTTGAGTCCATTCACAGGTCGTGATATGATCCAATTAGCTTCCGACTCATTCATCCAAATACCGAGTCGCCAAAATTCGAACTAGACTCGTTAAATGAATGAATGATGCGGTAGACAAATTGGATCATTGATTCTCTTTGATTGGACTGAAGGGAGCTCCCTCTCTCTTGTGTATTCCAGTTGTCTTGATAAATCTACTAAACATATAGTCATAGTGACATATTTGCTGCCTTCGTATGTATATTTTTGGTAAAACTAACATTTTGGGTTTCTCTATATTTCAGGCATCGCCTTGAATAGGTGAAGAAGAACATGACCAATTGCGGATATTCAAAATAGGTATCTCTAATTTTTTTTATATCTCTCTATATTAGCTTATGCAGTCTTTTTCATATATACCTCCAGCTAATTTTCCATCTTTCCAGGTTAACTATATTTGATACGATGAACCATTGAACCCTAGCGAGCAAACTAGGTTTTCATTTATCTAATCCAGTATCATTTTCTAAAAACGCAGACAATATTTACCCATATAAATGTTCTTTGATTTTACTTTGACTCTCTCTCTCTCTCCCTCTCCCTCTCTATGTGTTATTCTCTGGGAATTAGCGGTTGCAATTTACAAGTAAGGTTTTGTCTATTATTTAGATGGCTAGGGTTTAGCGTAATTAAAAATATTTGTTTAAAAAGGAAGGAAAATGATAAAGGTTGGCGACAAACTCATGAGCTTTGTTTCTCTTGGGGCATGAAGAGTTAATACTGCAGCAACAAGTTCCCATAATTTTCATTTATTTTACACTTCCCAATTAAGGTCCTCTCTCTTCAATGACATTCTTTAGTTTTTTTTTTTATATATTTGGTATTCACATTGTTACCTTTTAAAAGCGCTTCGGTTTCTGCTTTTTTAGCCTTCGGAAGTTGAAAACTTGAAATGACCGATTTTATCTTTGTTGTAAAACTCATTCGTATGTGTATGTAATAATATTGTCGTTTTATTAGTAATTTTAATTATATAAGACTTGTTTAATTGTTCAAAATTTGCAGTTATATTTTAAGGTATATGTTTCCATAGAATTAGTGATGTTAACAATACAAATATTTAAAATCAGGTTAGTGGAGTCGCATAACTTGATTATGTTAACAACTTTAATTACGAACTATTTTTCCTACGTTCACATGTTACATTGATATCAATGTGTTGATGTCGGTCTGTATTTTCTGTCACATTTCACTTCTTCTTTTTAAAATGTTTCTCTTTATTTTGTTTGAACCCTCAATAATTAATCTTCTATATCAAAATGTTTTGGCTCTGTCATATCTTGTCTTTAAAAAGGTAATGCTAACAAAACACAAAACCTATCAAATACTTGCTTTTCTAATGATTTTTTTGGTCAGCATTATCTCTAATGTTTGTTAAAAGTAGTTTAATTCTTCCTAATACAAAAAAGGGTCTATAAGCATATGAGTTGGCCCTTCCAATTATGCCTAAACATCAAGTACAATGGCTTAATATTGGAAAGAAACAAACTTTACATGTCTAAGAAAGTAAGTAAAGGAATCAGAAGTTTATTAATTTATCTTTGATTGTTCTGTATGCTACCAAATGTTTCTTTAAAAAAAAAAGGAGGTGGCTAATTCTCCAAAAAGGACTCAAGTGCTATACGTCGTTTCGTGGAGCGAATCGAAGGTGTCGACGTAGGGCTACTAGGGTTTTTCTCGCCCTTTGCAGAAACAGGTACTTTATTACATACAACCTTTTTGTATACATACATTTTTATATACGTACGTAGATGTACATATATATGTAACTAGTGTGTCAGTGTCATCTTCTTTTTTTTTTTTTTTTTTCACTGTCATCTTCTCGACTATAATAACTGATATTTGATTAATAACTCTAATATCTGGCCAAATCTATATATATTTCCATTTGAATGAAAACCAGACAGTTGAAACTTTGTTTATTGCAATTGTTTGACAGAGAAACCGAAAGGGGGATGAACATTTAGGGCATACAAGAATCAGTGAAGATAGGAGAGTGAGGATCTTGAATGATAACTTAATCACGAGTTAATGAGAAGTGATGATCATGGATCAAATCGTCAATGTCTAAAGAGACTCATCATGACCATAGAGTTTTCAGCTAAATAGCTCTTCCGTTCGTGTTCCTTTTCCATTTGCTTCCAATAGCTCATGGAAATTGGAAGCCTACTGATAAAAATATGTATATGATGGAATCTATATATAGACACATGTAGAATTTTTTTGTTGAAGATACATATTTAGGTTAACCTTTTTGCTTTTGATTTACCCCATAAAGACGCATTTAGAGGTTTTTACTCTACTGTTTTAGGTTGTGCACATGCAATAACCAACCAATAACCTATCTATTTTTCATAAAATAATATTATATATATCCGAGCATTTCTTAAAGAGGTATAGATATCATTGTAACCAAACTCAAGTACAAATAATTTTATTTTTGTATCCAAAAACGAAAGAGGCCAAACCAAAACTAAAAACAATTATTATCTTTGACTATAAACTATTTGTTCTTACTCCTAAATCGTTGAAAACAAAACAATATGATTGTTTAGTGATGAAGTAACTTCGATTTTCAAAGATCCATAGAACTTAGAGAGGTATTCATGTAGCGGAAAAAAACGTTGATACCATCACTAAACAACTCCATTCACGTGACTTACTTGACCCAAATGTAACATACTTGACCCGACCTGTATGGCCACTACGCTACAGACGTAATTACGAATTATGAATTGTTATTATTAAAGTATATAAACTGTAATTTTCTCATTAAAAAAGGGGGGAATATCATTGCATCAGATTCTCGGTGGAGACCAAAAGTGAAAATAATAGTAATAAAGGATATTACTTGCAAAATAAACCTGCTAGCTTGATTCTGTGTCACAACTTTAACAAGATAAAAAAATTTAGTCTAATCAAACTTTTTTCTCATCTGTCCATCGGCACATCTAGTCTCATGCCATTCTTTCTTCTCCATCCATCATTATAGTACGATTTTTTTCATACAATTATAACCTTTTTTTCTTCAAAGTTACCATAGTTTACGAATTTGGTTTCGAAATCAACCGCTCATCAAACTGTTGCCAGTTGGTGTAACAGTGTTGTGTTGGATAATTTGGGCAATTGGTTTAAACAGTTTTAGTATCACGCATTTTGATAATGAGGTAATTTAACACCTTTTCCCCGCAAGGGCAATGTTTTTGTTGCCTAAACGATTACCAAAAAAACAGATAAAACTAGTAGCATATGGAGACAGCAATAATTTGAACCAAAAAAAAAACATACGACAGATATAAGCAATCAAGCATGTCGTCTATTCTTTGGTGCGCTCTCTAAAATTTCAAAACAGTTGAGTATTCTATTTTTATTTTCCAAAGTTAAATATTCTTATTATGTTAGATTTTTTTTTATATAAACTTTAAAATTATGTTATTTTGAGAACTATAATATTATTTTAATTTATTAAAAATTAATGTTTTTAAATTTTTTTTCGTTTTTGTCATCGCAATTTAAACATCTAACATATCACCACTTATAATCAAAATGTAATTAATGACTATGGTTTGTAATTTAATGATTGGAGATACTTTTTTTTTTTTGATTGGTGATACTTGTCATTGATATGTCACCAATTGAATTCAAAATTTTCTATTGTGCTTTATTGACAAACAAAATTATTGTTTATTGATCTCTGTTATTCTCATATTTAACCACACCATTAGACTTTAGTGATCATTAGAAAAATGATTATGAATTTTCTATTTGCAAGAATATAAATTGGAGCTATAGTAAGATATTTAGCGTAAAACATGATGTTATTTTTGCAAATCATAGCGATTAATCTAATTAGCTCTCTTTTGTATTTTGGTCAACCTAATTAAAACTCTTTTTTTTAATCATGGAGGCCTAATTATGAAATTTGTAAGGTAAATGTAGGAGATACAAAGGATTCCAATGCCTTTATTGGACATATAGGGTTGTCCCATGATTTGACTCTGTCCTTCTACAGCTGTCTTAATTAAATCTTATGCAATTTAATTCAGTATCAGCTAATTTTTCTGTCCTTCAAAAAAAAATAATATGTATATATATATATATATATGTGTATTTTTAATTGAATTTTTACATATAAAACAAAGAGATATTGATAGAAAAAGTGAAGCATGGAAGAAAAAAACAGAAGTGGGAAACAAAACTGCAGAGATTCCATGGGTCTCTTGTTAACTTGCTTCAGTCCACTTGTAGTCTTCTCATCGTCATATCAGCTGTGTCACTTGAAAAAAAAAATTATTTCCTGAAAAAAATGAAAATTTCTAAGTTTATAAAGCTTACTGACATCATATGATAGTTCAATGGTAAAATGAATAGTTAAATCTTTTTTTTTATCAAGGTTGGTTTGTTATAAATGGAATTAAATAACAAAAAAAACTGACTTATAAAGTTCCACTCGATCTTTCATTCATGATAACAAAGATTTCTTCTGCTAAAATTATTTCGTTTTCGTTTTATCTTGGAAAAAGTTTTTTTTTGTTTTTTTTTTAAGCATGGTTTGATATCTTACGGCTGTCCAGAGCTTAATGTGATAATGTCATAAATCGAGTTCTCTGTACCCTTTTTTTTTTTTGCTATTATAAATGATTTAAAATAACAAAAATATTCTACATTTTACAGATTTTAAAGATCAGTCTAGATTTTTTTCTGACTCTACCCTGATTAGAAAATTAAATAAATGATCCCTTTAACCCTATGCAATGCTTAATCCAATATATTTAATCGATTGTCATGTATTAATGCAGTGCATAACAAACAATGTCGGTAACAAAACATGTCTCTTCCAATTATTCAATATTCACTAAAACCCTTTGGATCATCCAACATTTGAGGTATTATTGCATAAAGTAAACTTTTTAAAAATTTAAATCATATTTAAATATGGAAGACTAAAAAACTAAAAAAAAAATAGAGCAAGATCTACAACACAATATTGATAGCAATATGTTTTTAAAAACTTACAAAAGAATAAACAAAAGGGATTTCAATTTGGGTATAGAAGGTGAATACCTTTTTGTTGTGGTGAAATGGAAACACACAACTCATGGCTAAGCAGAGACTCTCTCTCTTACCTGTTTCTATTTTATTTTGTTTGTTATTTTATTCCAAAAGAGTGAATCCTCAGTTTTCCACATCACTTGATATGACCATTCAGTAACTTTTTTATATTTCTACTTTCTTACATTTATACACTCACCAACCTCCAATCTATTTTCAAAACTACCCAAAAAAAAAAAAGTTCATTAATGAAATTCAACTGAATGTTTGTTTTAACGAGCGATAAAGTTGTATTCTATGACTTCGGCTTTGATTGATAATCTTCACAATGACACGATAAATATTTGAAAATAACACAATGTCATACAACCACGAGAATTAAAAGAATAATGAACAAAATCATTTGCTTTTGTAATTTGCAAATGAACTATATTATTATTATTTTGAAGATTTTCCAAATTAAAATTTATGATTTGCAAGGAATTAAATTTTGTTCGGTTTATATTTTATAAACGACTTAATAATCAATCAACAAAAATATCATCAAAAAAAAATCAAATGCATGTATTGGGCCAATTTAGGCCCATCATTAGAGTTAGCCATATAATTCCTATTGAGGATATAAGCTCCATTTTATTTTTTAACTTGTGGGCTCAATCTTTTTGTCTGTGTACATTTTTGGGTAACTTACAACTTAGTTTTATGAGATTTTTCTTTGTTACTGGTATATGATCAGCTTTATTATTCACAGTGACTTAAAAACTATTCAAATCCAATTCTATGTTGATTACTATTATTTTCTTGTCAAGTCTAAAAGTGCTAAATTAAACTCTATAATTTGTAAAACTGCTGCAATGAAAATTTATCTAATCCTTATAAGTTTGTGTAATTGTGTTTAAGAGTTTTACGATTTATTGAAATAAAATGATGAGAAAGTACCGCATGCAAAGAAAATAACACTAAAAAGTTGACTCTTTTTGTCTTTTTGACTTTTAAGTAACCAGTTCATGCCGCTGATTGCGCTCTTTCTCTCTACTTTTCAAAATTAAAATTTTTTTGATTATAAATCTGCTTTTCATTTTGTCTCAATTTCATTCGAAACAAAACCTTCTTATGTTTTAGACTTAAATTATAATAATTTTAGTATTTTACACAGACATGCGCAATCAAACATTCTACGTCATAGATTTTATTTTACAAACCAAAGGAATCAAACTATAACATTAAAACTTGGTTTCGATATATGTACAGTATGTTAGAAACTAAGAAAATTCAATCCTGAAAGAAACTACATCCATTAATCGAGTTTTTTTATTTGCGTATTAGACCATCTCCAATGTATTTTCCTATTTTTATCTCTATTTCTATAATAGAGGTAAGTTTTCTCTATTTTTACTCCAATGTGTTGCTCTATTTTTTCTTCTAAAAAGTTTTAACTCTATTTATAGAGGAAAAAATAGAGATTCTCTATTCTCACCTCTATATATAGAGAAAAAAATAGAGATCTCTATTTTAGAGGTGAGAATAGAGGTGGGTTGGAGTAAATTTGCCTCTAAAATAGAATTTAGAGGCAAATATAGAGGTGGGTTGGAGATGCTCTTAATACATGCATCATTATTTACTTATGGCCCTACATTTTCTTGCCTTTTCACTTCCTTACTCGAACTCTAAAACATATTTTCCCAAAGACAACAAAAAAAATAACACGAAAGAGAAACTTGAACTCAAAGTCTCTCATTTGCTGTGTTGTGTTCTTACTACACACCAGTTTGTTTTCTTCTACATCACAATCCTCTCTTGTCCACTTAAACTCCACAACATCAATCCTTAATGTCACTTTACCACATTCCTTGTCTCAATCCTTAGAGAATTTCGCCCTCAAGACGTTAACCACTCAACATCATACCGGTGCTCTATACCGGGCCATCTTACCGGAAAATCTTTCCGGCATTGAAGTGTCTGTCGTCCGTCTCACCGGGAAGAGCCTTTGGAACTCCGGGGCCAAGTTCAGCAACGTGCTTATTCCGGAAAGGTCAGTTTCGGTTCCTCCTGCGAGAAGAGTCGCTATCGTGTACCAAAATCTAGGGAATTGGTCCAACCATTGGTATACGGTACCCGGTTACCGATTAATCACTTCTGTCTTAGGGTTTAAGGTATTGGACGTGTCAGATCAAGACAATGTCAAAGAGATAAGACTAAGGATGAAGAATCCTGTGGAGGTTTCGTTTATGGATCTACCTAAAGAGACGGATGAGGAAATGCTGTCTAGGGTAAGATGCGTGAGTTTCAAGGCACAGACCAAAGATGAGAAAGTGACTCATATAAGCCGAATGGTTCTTCCCGGCGTGTGTTACGGTTCTAGCCATGGGGATTATTCGGTGGTCGAGCCCTTGGAGAATGATAAAAAGAATGTCGAGTCGTGGTGGACCTGGTGGTGGTTGTGGATCGTGGAGTTTATTTCAGGATTTGGCGTGTTAGCATTTCTATGGTTTTTGTGTATAATGGGGATAAGGGTTTCAAGAGCGAAGAAGATTCAAGTGATGATGGAGAGAGACGCTAATGATGGTGAAGTGTTTGAGAGCAGATGGATTGGTGGAAGTAAAATGCCATCTGCAGCTGTAACCAGAACCTTACCAGAGCCAGAATCCGGATTCGAAAGGGTCTCTTAGATAATTGGTTGGGTCTTACTTGGTTGGAAATTGAAAATTACTCCCGATAAAAAAAATATGTAGTGATCACTTAATATAGTACAGAAAAAAAAAAGCTTTTTACATTAGTCCTGGCTGGGAAGCTTTGAATCCACACTCTTGCATATTCCAAAACTGTGTTTGTACTTATTCGCTAATCTGGTCCCAAAAGGATAAGCTGAATTCGTATCTGCTTACTATTACGACAAGAATATATGATACATTATTTATTATTTCATAGCCACAAACAAATGGATTTGGGTTCACAGCAGCAAAGAGGAGGAACAGAACAAAAAAACCTACGAATCTGTAAATCTGTTGTTTTTCTGCTTAGATCACAGGTTTGTTTTGTTTTTCTCTTAAACTTTCATACATTCATCCAACGTTTACACAATACAACTTATAGAGATTTCTTCTACTCACTACAACCACTCTCTTAGACTCTAAACTTGGTCACTATTTGACCTTACCTCTAGGCATTAGACTTAGTATTACAAGCAACCTTACACAACCTTACCTTAGCCACTTACAACTCCAACTGCTCTAGCTTAAGTACTTTAGCTAGTAGAATAAGACACATCTAACTCTACGAATGGGCCACAAGTAAACATACTTCACCACTTTGGGCCTAAACTAACTTCATCAGCCCAATAAGACAAAACACAAAAACCCACTTCTCTTGTTGACTTTTCTTCTTCTTCTTCCCACGTCTCTCTCTCTTGCGACCACGACGACCACTTCATCTTCTTCTTCTAGTTTCCAATCTTCTTGTTCTTCATCATCGTTGTTTCCTTCTCACCGATGTCGTTCTTCTTCTTTGCAGGATCAATCGGAGAGTTCAATCTCAACAAAATCACATAACAAGAACCTTAACATAAGAAAATGAGAGCGAGACAGAGACTCTGAAATGGGCTTTTGAAATAGTTTTCTTACCTCTAGAAGCTTCATACGGAATGCAACATCCAAGTGTGCATCAAGTATGTTCTCACAAACAATCTTCCCATTGCGAGACGCTGCAACGGATTAAGATAACAAACACAACTCCTTGTGAGCTGCAACAAATTCCATTCATACACTTGCTTTATAAAGACCGTTCTAATCACCAAGCATGCAAATTCTATTATTCAGCAAATTTGAAATAACTAAAGCTATGATCTTTGCTGTCAAAAAAAAAAAAACTATGATCTTTAATTGAAAGCCACAGTCCTCAATAAACGGTTAACAGTTTTAGTATGGGCCAGCTCACTTAAACGAGAAACCCAAAGGGTTCAAGCCTCAAGGCCTTTTTTTTTTTTTTTTTTTTTTTTTTTGTGTTTGCGAAGTCCATAAAACATAGAAAAAGCGTCTTTGACAAAATAAATTTTACATTTATTCTCTTAAAAAAAAATGAAGAATCATTCTTGAACCAAATAAAAATTAAAAATACAAGAATCATTAGATTTATAACAATTGTTATGTATATCTAAATAAATTGAACATTTATATTTTATAAAGATTTTAAAATATAATGTTTCTACGTATGTATTCTGAATAATAATTAAAAAAACCTCAGAAACTTTATAACGAAATTAAACAAAATTCTAAATTTTAATAAGTTAAAAACATAGTATAAATCAAAGCTTTAAATTCTAAATCGTGAACCATATACTCCAGCATCTAAATCAGAAATCCTAAATTAGTTCGTAAATTGAAGTCTTAATCTTAAACATAAAAAATTGGTTTTTTATGGTACTCTATTTTAGGGTATTTCTCTTTTTCTAATTTCATTGGAAGTTTTATTTTTATTTTATTATTTCTCCTATCTTTAAAAAAAAATCCATACATATTTTTGAGGTTGCTGTATTTTCCATACATTTGGATATACCAAAAACAACTTTACAAGAAAACAATTTAATTAAGGTGGTCCTTTTCAAAATATTATTATACACATGTCTGATGTCTCTGTGTCTTTTATATTCTTTTCAATTGCAAAATAAGAGTCCGGGACGCATGATTACAAATGAATTATCAGCAAATCCATCTTATTCAATCGTTTTCCAATCCTAAAATGCAAATTTCTCTGGAAGATTAGAAGATTGTAACGTGAAAATAACAGAGTTAGATTATGAATCCGGTATATTGAGTGTTGACATATTTTGATCGCCAGTTGTTATACACTTGAATTTTTAAATATTCAGATTATTGCATGAACGATGAACCCTTCCTTCGATATAATTAAAGAAACTAATGATTACACAAAACAACACGAATGGGACGACCATCGGCGTCGCAGAGGGACGTAATTGGCGCATAAAGATATCATAGGTCGGCATAAAATGCCAAGAACAATCTGATAATACCTTAATCTTCCACGTTTCCATATAATTTTAATTATAAAGAAAAACATAGATCAATCTTAGATATCTAAACTTTAGGAAATAACATGTGTGGACTATAATTAAAGTATAGAGAGACCTCAATCCATTTGTTTATTAAGTAAATTGGCGAAATTTTGTTAGTATTAAACTTTTGATGCAACTGATTTCCTATCCTAAAAGAACGTATTAATTTTCATTTTTCGTGAAAACCCAAACTTAGTGGTCGGGTGGAAATACCACAAGTTTTCATATCGTTTATATATCAATTGAACATTTCTTATTCTACATATTGGATCAATAAGGGAAGATCTAGCTACTACTAAAAACTGAGAAAATAAGCTATATCATGAAACAAAGTGCCATGCATACTAAGCTAATACTAATCTAATGTTTGGGCTAAAACTCATTAGATCATGGAAACAAGTCCCACCAGACCACTTAGAGATGATAAGCTTTTCTTACTAAACCCAATGAATCTTGTTCTTGTCTTACATAATTTCACCAAAAGTTTATTATAGCACTCGTAAACTTTATACATTAATCTTTTGGTAAAGTGCGAGAGTTAAAACACGGCACATATATAGCATAAACCAATAATATGAATATTTTTATAAGCGTGTTTATTTTTAAGAAATGCTTATCTTTTTTTTATCAAGTTCAATAACTTTAAACATATGGTCGCTGTCTCTTTTGGATTATTTGACTGCGCAGACTTCTTTGTTTGATTATTCTCTCTGTTGAAACACCTTTTCTTTTCGTTTAGTGATTTATTCTTTTAATGTGTACTAGTTTGCATGTTATTCATCTGCTGAATAGATCGAAAAATTATAAAACTTCTTAATTAATTAGTGATTAATGAAAAAACTCAATTAATAAATTTCCCTCCAAATATGAACAGGTAGTTAATTCCGTTAATCATGGTGGCATGTCAAGATCTACCCATCCCCACACCTTTCATCACTACCAGCTGTCCTCACGCCATCATCTTATTTTTATTTTTATTTTGGCTTTTTCTTCTTTTATTTTCCATTTTTTTTTCTTTTTGCAACTAGATATATCATTAACTCAGCCAATCAGATCGAAGAAAAAAGTTAACCACCAAAAAACTATATAACATTAATGAAGAAATTGTAGAGTCTGGTCTTTAAATTAAACTATACTCTAATTACGTCTTTTGAAGGAAAAAAACTATATTTTAGGGTTAATCCCATTGGTTTATTAAACATTAAACATTACATATTAAAATATTACAATTTGCAGTCTTTTATTAACCTTTTGAATCGTTGCAACTTTTCTACATATTGCCCAATTTTTTTGACTTGTGTCTTTTAAAATATCTTCTTTCTGTTTCCTCATACTTCAGATTCCTCTTCCGGGCCAAAAAAACAAAGTTGTGTTTTTGCTTTCTGGGTTCTTGATTTCAATACGTAATATCATCTGGGCATCTGTTAATTCTCCTTCTAATCCCAGCTTATCGTTAACCTTAAAGCTTGTGTTTGATATATTTGGTTGGACCAATTAAGTTAAGTGAATATCAAAATCTCCAAAGATCTTTCCGTTTTCAATCTCAACCTCACGATCTGTCTTAATCCCGAGTTTCACTTTATCCTCTCTTTTTTTTGCAACATTAGAGTTTTGTGTGTTGCAGCTTTATTGTTGCAACATTAGAGTTTTGTGTGTAAGAAAAAGACTTATAAGCAGTTGAAGTGGTGGTTGAGGGTTCGGTTTTATTTCCACGAGATTACTTTGGGTTTCTTGTTGCTCTTTCCACAAGAAAGTGTTGTTGTTTTCTTCTTCTTCTTCTTGTGATTTCTTCGCCTAATTTTTTTTTGCTGGATTTAAATACTCGAGAAATCAAGGTGAAAAATTATCGAACTCTCTGAATCTGTGTTTTAATGGAACCATCTTCTGGAGTCGGTTCTGAGAAGAGACCAACCGTTGACTTGGTCAAGGATAAAAATGGAACCGATCAGATTCTTCTTCAGAATCCTAAAGGCGCTTCTGTGAAGGTAATTAGATTTTATTGTTGTTTCAATTTGTTTCTCCTCTGTTTACGCAGAAGTAGAATGATTCTTCGATGCAAGATTCAGAATTTTGATTCTCGGATTCTTGAGATAGAGGATAAGATGTTGACTTTTAAGATTTGCCCACTAACTGTTGGATGTTTTTCCTCTGCCAAACTCTTCTTTGGTACTAGAGAATTGGAATTGTATCCTGTCTTTTATACTTTTTGGCCCAAAGGTCTTATTTTTGGGGGAATCTGTGTATTTGGTTCTTATGATCAGAGTGTTTGATTGCTCTGTTTCTATTGGTGATTTGGGTTCTGTTTCTTGAAAGTTGAAGGCCTAGGTCATAGCTGTGGCTTGAAATTCTCTTCACAAGAAAAATCTGATAGATTTTGATCTAATTTTTGGTTTTTGGGCTATGGAAACTTTGGCTTTTATGATTCCTATAATCACATTCACAAACATGTCCATTTCGCTTATTGAACTGCCGCTTTGTTTATGATTCAGATTAGTTTACATGGAGGACAAGTTCTTTCTTGGAAGACTGAGAAGGGTGATGAATTGTTATTCACCAGCTCCAAGGTAATGAACTCTGCTTTTTCAACATTTATGCAACTTTGTATAATGTTTGGTGAACTACATGCTCTTTGTTTCAGGCCAACTTGAAGCCTCCCCATCCGGTACGAGGAGGAATCCCTATATGCTTTCCTCAGGTACATTGACTCATAAAATCGAACATGTAATATATTGGACATGACTAATCTTGGTTTTGATCACCTTTTCTTTAAATTTTTGTTTATTCTTAAGTTTGGAACTCGGGGATCACTTGAGCAACACGGGTTTGCAAGAAACAAGATATGGCTTGTGGAAAACAATCCACCTGCTTTACCTTCATTTGACCCTACCGGCAAAGCCTATGTCGATTTGGTACTTAAGTCATCTGATGAAGACACGATGAGGATCTGGCCTTTCAGGTAGGTTGCAAACCCGATCCTCGATATGATTTGATTTCTTTCATTTCAGCAATGATTAATTGCTATTGCTCTTGTTTCAGCTTTGAGTTTCATCTTAGAGTCTCATTGGCATTAGATGGAAACCTAACACTGATATCACGAGTCAGAAACATCAATTCAAAGCCTTTTAGCTTTGCCATTGCTTACCACACTTACTTCTCTATTTCCGATATTAGGTGAAACACCGAGTTTAGCCTCTTTAGTCTCTCTGCTATCACATAATAAAACGTAGAACTCAATACACTCTTTTTCTTTTGGTATTTTATCAGTGAAGTTAGACTTGAAGGGCTGGAAACTCTTGATTATCTTGATAACATGCGCGATAGAGAGCGGTTTACAGAGCAAGGCGATGCATTAACCTTTGAATCCGAGATCGATAGAGTGTACCTAAATTCTAAAGACGTGGTTGCTGTTTTCGACCATGAGAGAAAACGTACATTCCTCATCAGGAAAGAAGGTCTACCTGATGTTGGTAAGATTCAAATACCGAAAACTTAAACCCGCCCTTTTAACCGGGATCCGGTTTTTAACAGAATTAGATTCTCGGTTTATCTATCGCAGTGGTATGGAATCCATGGGAGAAGAAAGCGAGAGCATTGACGGATTTGGGAGATGATGAGTATAAACACATGTTGTGTGTTGATGGAGCAGCCATTGAGAAACCCATCACCTTGAAACCGGGTGAAGAATGGACCGGTAAATTAAACCTCTCGCTTGTTCTTTCCACCTGATAAAACCGGTACCGGTTATCTCAAACCGATTCTTCTCTGCGTCTCTCATTATTATCTTGTGGGCTATTTTTTTTTGTATAGTCTATAGAACATCACAGTGTGTGTGATTTCTTCGGTATCAAAATCCGAAATATTAAAAGGAAACCTGAGATTTGAAAAGGTCACCCATTTTTAGGAAGTGACTAGATCCTGGTTTTGTGCGAGATTTAACTTGTGTATGAAGACAATGTTATATATTATTAAATGAAGTTTGTATTTATTTTTATTTTTATTTGGTGAAATCTTCATTAATATTTAAAGCTTTCTTGTTCTCATGGCCAACAATTCTTGAATAAACCATTTCTTAAACCATAAACTAATCTAATTGGGTTATTTCAAGTAGGAACAAAACTACTATATAAAAATATGATTTTTAGATTCGAAAGCTTATACTCATTTCCTTTTTAGAGTTAATGGACTTATACTCATTGCCTCTCAATGTGGTAAGATGGTATAAAATCATCACAATAATCATGAAAGATTTGAAAATTATTGGTCTATAATATGATGCACCATAAAATTCTATAATTGCGTCGGTCCAATATACCATATTTAATACACCGAAGAAATAGTAATATTTTAAAAAGAGAATATCTTATTGATGCCAAAAAGAAACCAAGAATTATATTAAAAAGGTAGAAGTCGATTTGCATTGAAGGCTTTGAGCTTCATTATGACAAGTACAAAACAAATAAAAACGTATTTGCCTAAATTGTTTAGGAAGTTAAATAATTTCTTTATTAACCTCGATTATCATAATTAACTATTCTCCATTCTTTTTATTAGCGTTGACCAATTAATCTTCCGGTTCTGTATATATCGGTTCAGAAAACTTACCCGGTTTCACAATATCACGTAGCTAATGTTCCGATTTATGAAAGTAAATCAGTAATCAATCGGAACATACCAAAGATCGATTAGAAAATTGAAATTTGGGATAACAAAATTCAATGGTCCCCGGTTCTGTAATAAATAACCGGTACGTACGGGTTTCACAGACTCATCGGTCACCAACCTGTAAACCGTATAAGAAAATAAGTCGCATCAGTATCTTCCCTCGTCACTTTCATCACTTTAATGCCAAAAAAAAAGAACAAAATAAATTATATCCGTTGCTTTGAATCAAAAATCCACAAAGCTCACAAGTCCTTCAATGGCGGTTCTTCACATTATCGTCACTGCGTAATTTAAGAAGTTCGTCTCTCTTCCTCTTATTCTCGAACTGTGTTCTTAAAAACTTCAGAGCTGATTCGATTCTCGAGAAGAAACAGAGCTCGAGGGTCGACAATAAAGTTCAGATCTGGAAAAAAAAGCGAGGGTAACATTTCTTTATTTCTATAGCTTCCAATTTTAATAATTTTAATCTCTAATTAGAGTTAGGATTCAACTTTTTGACAATTTTAATTTCCAGAAATTCTAGGGTTTTTAAATTAAAGCTTCGTCATTTTCGAAGCTTAAAGTTTCTCTCTTTTTCTGTCTCCCACTCCTGTTTTTCAATTTCTGGATTTTAATATCTCCAATGGTCACATAGAACAACTTCAAGATTCCACTTTTGCTTTTTAATCCGCTGTCTTCTAGAAATCTGAATTTTTTTCGCTTTTTTCGTACCTTTTATTTTAAATTAAAGTGAACAAATTTATAACCATTTATATACTCATCATCTTCATCATCATCAATCAAATTGAGTTTTTTTTTATTGTCTCTTCTTCAGCTCAAGATTACAAAAGAAACAGCTTGTTTTTTACTTTCAAAAAATGGAAGCTTTGAGGATTTATCTATGGAGTCTCTCTCTGTGTTTGATTATCTATGGAGCAAACTCAGATCCATTAGAAGACAAACGTGCATTGCTTGAGTTTCTTACCATTATGCGTCCGACACGTTCACTAAACTGGAACGAGACTTCTCAAGTCTGCAACATCTGGACCGGAGTTACTTGTAATCAAGACGGATCTCGAATCATAGCCGTTAGATTACCAGGGGTTGGGCTCAATGGTCAGATTCCTCCCAACACTATAAGCAGACTCTCTGGTCTCAGAGTTCTTAGTCTCAGATCCAATCTAATCTCCGGTGTGTTTCCGGCGGATTTTGTTGAGTTAAAAGATTTGGCCTTTCTTTATCTTCAGGACAACAAATTGTCTGGTCCTTTGCCTTTGGATTTCTCTGTTTGGAAGAATCTCACTAGTGTTAATCTCTCGAACAACAGGTTTAACGGGACAATCCCGGGTTCGTTGTCCCGTCTTAGGCGGATTCAGTCGTTGAATCTTGCTAACAATTCGCTTTCTGGTGATATTCCGGATCTGAGTGTGGTCTCTAGTCTGCAGCACATTGACTTGTCCAACAATTATGATCTCGATGGACCGATACCGGATTGGCTTCGAAGATTCCCGTTGTCTTCTTATGTAGGCATTGGTATTATTCCTCCTGGTAATGGTTCCATCTTTCAGCCGCCACCACCACCTCGCGAGCAGACTCATCAGAAACCGAAAGCTCACTTCTTTGGACTATCCGAGACGGTTTTTCTGTTGATTGTTATTGCTGTTTCCATTGTAGTGATTGCGGCTTTGGCGTTTGTGTTGACTGTTTGTTACGTAAGAAGGAATTTAAGACGCGGTGATGGGGTCATTTCGGATAATAAGCTGCAGAAGAAAGGCGGGATGTCTCCTGAGAAATTCGTTTCGCGGATGGAAGATGTAAACAACCGGTTATCGTTCTTCGAAGGATGCAACTACTCGTTTGATCTTGAGGATCTATTGAGAGCTTCTGCTGAGGTTCTTGGTAAGGGCACGTTTGGCACGACGTACAAAGCTGTTCTTGAAGATGCAACTTCTGTTGCTGTGAAACGGCTTAAGGATGTTGCGGCTGGGAAACGAGATTTCGAGCAGCAGATGGAGATCATTGGAGGTATTAAGCACGAAAACGTTGTGGAGCTTAAGGCATACTATTACTCTAAAGACGAGAAGCTAATGGTTTATGACTATTTCAGCCGAGGAAGTGTGGCTTCTTTGCTTCATGGTACGTTTCACTTTTTGATCTAATGCATCATAGCTACAATCAGATTCAAACCCATTTGCTTTAGGCTCATTGTAAATTTGAAATGTTTTGGTTTTTCGACTGGATCTTGCAGGTAATAGAGGAGAAAACCGGATTCCTCTCGACTGGGAAACCAGAATGAAAATCACGATTGGCGCAGCTAAAGGGATTGCTCGTATCCACAAAGAAAACAATGGAAAACTCGTCCATGGAAACATCAAATCTTCGAATATATTCTTGAATTCCGAGAATAATGGCTGTGTCTCTGATCTTGGATTAACCGCTGTAATGAGCCCCTTGGCTCCACCTATCTCGAGGCAAGCTGGTTACCGTGCACCAGAAGTAACCGACACAAGGAAGTCTTCTCAATTGTCGGATGTTTACAGCTTCGGCGTCGTTCTACTCGAACTGCTCACCGGAAAATCACCCATTCACACAACCGCAGGTAAAGCTACAACCCGAAGTAACCAGACCGTTTCAACTGTTGTTATATTTTCGTTGTAATGATCATTATGTAATGGAAATTGCAGGGGACGAGATCATTCACTTGGTTCGATGGGTACATTCGGTAGTGAGAGAGGAATGGACCGCAGAAGTATTCGACATAGAGCTTCTGAGGTATACAAACATAGAGGAAGAGATGGTTGAGATGTTGCAGATTGCAATGTCTTGTGTTGTGAAAGCAGCAGACCAGAGGCCAAAGATGTCTGATTTGGTTAGGCTCATCGAGAACGTTGGAAACCGACGAACCAGCATTGAACCCGAACCCGAACTCAAACCCAAATCTGAAAATGGAGCCTCAGAGACTTCGACGCCGAGTGAAATTTGAATCTATCAAATTCAAACTGTTGATTCATCATCCCATATTTATATCTCAAGTTGTATACTCCTCTGTTTTATTTCTTCTCTCTTCGGTTTAGAACCGGTTCATCAAAACACATTTCTGTTTAGGAATTCTTGGTTTTCAAAATTCGGTTTGAAATAGATTCAAATTTCCAATTCACAAGGTATTTCGTCAGAGGTCAGAGCCTCTAAATCAGAGAAGCCAAATACTTCAAACTTCAGAGCCCAAAATAAAGCCTTTTAAGCCTACATCATTATGAATCCGGCCTGTGAATATGATCCATCCCAAAGGACTCGACAAAATCGAACTAGTGGTCTCAAGAAATGCAAGATTTGGATGATTTCTTAACTTGTAAGAAGCACCAACTAGCTAGTCTAAGACCCACATGGTATCCTCAGGATCATATTTGAATGGAGTTTGGACTATGTTTTTCATTATATTTATTTTACTGAAATAAACATTTTCTGAGTCAAAAGAAAAGGTTCATACATAATGTTTGTCGTGGTTGTGTGTTTGGAGGAGGAACAGGTAGGTGGCAGAGATTACAATAGGAAGGAGACAAATAAGGCAAGTTACAACGTGAACTTGATTTGTCTAATTCCAGAAAATGACGTGTCCTTGCTGCTCATATACTGCAATAGGGCTTCTTCTTCTCTTTCCAAGTTGCAAAATTAGAAACCTAAATATATATATTTGAATCTCAAATATGTATATAAATGTGTCAATTTTATGTAAATCCTTAGGTCCCCACGAATTCGGTGGATCAACATGTTATTTGTTTTACTTCTCCACAGTTAAAACGACCCGCTTATTAGGAAAATGATGGAGTTAAAACCATACCTCAACATATAACTTATCGAACATGTAACTTATATTTTACCAATGTGGCATATACGATATCTATATTATTAATTGGGAATCACTAAATATTAAATAACCTTATGAAGAGTAAAATATTACAAAAAATGCCATTGGTTTTTAGTGTTTTTAAATAACTTCATTAAGGGTACAATAGTAATCACAAAATTAATATATTTAAATAAAAAATAGTATAATTCTTTTAAATAATTATTAATTTCCAAAAAATAAACTAATTTTCTCTCTCTTATTAATTATAAACGAAAATTTGAAATTAATTTTTTAAAAATTGTTAACCAATAAGAATTGAAAAACTAAGATTTGATATCCAACTAAGATTTTATCTAAACCAATCGTAATAGACTATTCTATGTCAAAAATAAAAAAAAAATAATATCATTTTAATTCAAAATTAAAAACACTATCGTTTAAAAGATTTATCAATGGAGGACTTTAAGAGTAAATTTAAAATTTCGTAAGAAAATTAAATACAAATATTTTAAGATTCAGTTTTGTTATAATATTTTCACAAATTTTAAAATATAAAACAAAATTTTATTTCAAAATTTCTAAAATACAATATTAGATATTAACAACTATTTATATTTATGATGAAATAAACTCAAATAATAATAAATTTAAAGTAATTATCATTCTAGCCTTCGTTTAGAGCAAATTTGATAAATATCTAACAATAGATTGTATATATTAATTTCTAAATTATGTTGCGTTTTATTTTTTTGTTTTTCAACCGGATCTTCCTTAAATAAATCCCTAATATATTGCACACAGTTTTCAAATAATGTAAACTAATTATATATTTTGAATTCAAAACAAATTATGCAGCAATAGCATATCCCTTTTAGAGATGTATCTCAAATTTTTATTTTTAGTCCAAAAATTAAATTAATTATGATTAAACAATAAAAAGAAGAATATGCAAAATTTAGCTAAGGGAAGAAACATTAATAAATTTGTTAAAATATATTTGTAACTTTAGCAGCATATATATTAATCTGCAAAACTCACAGTATGTATTGTATGGTATTTAAAAGTAAGCAAACAAGAATTTGGAACATGATTTTAATGGAATGAAATGAGAATAGGAATTACTAGACGGGATGAGATCAAACTAAATACCCAATTGGTATGAGTTCAGGTTATAAACACTATATAAAATAAATTTGTTTACATACATAACCATGTACGTACGTTTTCAGTTACACATATTCTATTTATGCAGGATACTGGACCGTCATATTTTTATTTCACGTATACGAGACGGGTTATAGGACCAAGAATTTATGACAGATACAGGACGAGATAGGTTTCCCGTTCTAAAATAGTTACGCCTAGCTAATATACATGAAATAACCAAACTCAAACCGAATCTATATCCTATTTAACGCATGTAATCAAACTATTAGAAATGTTTTGATTAGTTTAGAAAATAAAAAAGTAACATCATTTAACTTTTGCAACTAAATTATATCTTAGTTTTATCTTAAAAACAATTTCGCACGTACGTGTAGGTCTGGATCTTAAAATATAACTATGCACTAACGCAACTGAATTTCGTTCATTACTCTAATTTTATAATATTTATACTATTATAAAGTTCACTAACACAACAAAATATTTTATATTTTTAAAATCTATATAACAATTTCTATAAAAATATCTCTGCACGTACGTGTGAATCCAGATCTAATACACTAAAATATATATCATAGAAACAATAAAATAATCTATATTGAATTAAAATTTGTTAGAACTTTTTAAAAAATATGAAACCCCGCACGTATGTGCGGGTCATGATCTAGTACAACTTTTATATGAAAACTACTAGAGTATAAGTTTAGATTGTATATAAATTTATTTTTTTCGTCAGTTATTATCCCTTTGATTTTCCCGCAAATGAAACTGATTGAATCAAACAAAAGATAAATAAATCTTGTTCATTATATTTTACCTAAGATTATCCTTTACAGCTTTTTTTTTTCAATACGTTATCCTTTATATTGTTAGTGAATTAAAGTTGAATCAAAAATTTCGAACGAGCAGAGCAGTTCGAATAGTATGAACCATACTTAGGTTTACCCCTGTGGTGAACCTTTAAATTCACCCAACAGATTATAGCCAATCCTTTTGCCATGTCATTATTAATACTAGAGAATTAAAAAAAAAAAAAACACAATTAAAAAAAAAGGAAATCACAAAATAGATTTAGGGTTTAAGGTTTAGGGTTTAGGGTTTAGGGTTTAAGATTTAGATTTTACAATTAAAACGAAATTAGATGTCGGTTTGGGTTGCCAAATGAGTGGTTAGGGTTTAGATTTTATAATTAAAACTAAATTAGATATCGGTTAGGGTTTAGGGTTTAGGGTTTAGGGTTTAGATTTTACAATTAAAACGAAATTAGATGTCGGTTTGGGTTGCCAAATGAGTGGTTAGGGTTTAGATTTTATAATTAAAACTAAATTAGATATCGGTTAGGGTTTAGGGTTTAGGGTTTAGATTTTAGGATTAAAACGAAATTAGATGTCGGTTTGGGTTGCCAAATGAGTGGTTAGGGTTTAGATTTTATAATTAAAACGAAATTAGATATCGGTTTGAGTTGACAAATGAGTGGTTAGGGTTTAAATTTTACAATTAAAACAAAATTATATATCTGTTCATCGCTGGGTTTAGGGTTTATGGTTTAGGATTTGGGTTTAGGGTTTATGGTTTATATAACAAATATTTCACAAACCTAAACAGATATATAATTTCGTTTTAATTGTAAAATTTAAACACTAACCACTCATTTGTCAACCCAAACCGATATCTAATTTCGTTTTAATTATAAAATCTAAACCTTAACCACTCATTTGGCAACCCAAACCGACATCTAATTTCGTTTTAATTGTAAAATCTAAACCCTAAACCCTAAACCCTAACCGATATCTAATTTAGTTTTAATTATAAAATCTAAACCCTAACCACTCATTTGGCAACCCAAACCGACATCTAATTTCGTTTTAATTGTAAAATCTAAACCCTAAACCCTAAACCCTAAACCTTAAACCCTAAATCTATTTTGTGATTTTTTTTTTTTTTAATTATGTTTCTTTTTTTATTTTAATTCTCTAGTATTAATAATGACATGGCAAAAGGATTGGCTATAATCTGTTGGGTGAATTTAAAGGTTCACCACGGGGGTAAACCTAAGTATGGTTCGAATAGTATAGTAGTACACTATTGCACTACTTGTTAAAATTCGTATTGGGCCTATTGGCTAATGATGAAGAAAGCAAACTTTCATTTTTTATTTTTGTTGAGAAGAAAAAAAACAAATTATAGTATTCATTTATTAAAAAAATAGCATGAGAATAGACATAACAGTCAACGTCCACTTGCTTTATATGTTCCTCTTTGCCTTTTCTCAAGTCAGAGTCAAACCTATTTCAATTTTTAGGTGGTCTGTCGACAAGTTACACAAACAAAAGATAATTACACGTAATTTTCCGTAAATAAACAATTGCCTTGTTAATATGTAAATTATCAAAATAGTGATAGTAAAAGGTCAATTTCATGCGTGTACCATAACAGTGATGTGTGTAATATAATAGACCAATGGTTCCTGATTTTCTGGTAAAACTGAAAAGCTTTTTTTACCCTACCCTCTATGGCTCTATGCTATGATTAGTTTTTTTCTATCTCCAAAACGTTTTTGATGTTTTTCTTCTCATTTAGCAACCTTGTATTAAATTTGATTGGTTGTGTAGTCCCTTAAAATACGGAGTCAAACTAGACATTGTATCTCATTTTAACTTTAGTCGTTAGCTCTTTTTATTTACCTTTACAAAGATACCCTGTTCAAAAAATCGGGCGCCTAGCCGCCTAGGCGGCCGCCTAGTCGGTGATCGGCAGTCAACCGCCGCGATTTTAATCAAATCGGACTATTTAATCGGTAAACCGATTTTGCGGCCGTTTAATAATTAAACGTTGAAAATCGGTTAAAAGTCACCGATTTATTATAAAATTTTATACTGAATTTTGACCAAAACTCAAAAATTTATTGGGCCTACATAAGCCCACACGAGCTATACTATGACAAATAGAAACAATTAGTAGGGTCATTTATATAAGAAGTCGATTCCATGCTTCCTTCCTACTATTACCGATGTGGGACTTTGTGATTTTGAGTTTTGTAGAGATACTACTTTCACATAACGTGGCAACTGGCAAGTGATATCAATTCAGTAGTCAAATTAATAATTTGAATATATTTAAGTTCTTTATTTTTTTTCCACCAA